AAGCTGGTAGAGAGAGACAGACTTGCAGCAGTAATTGCAACAAAAGGATGTTCTCAAAGTTTGAACTCATTGAGAATGAATAGAAATGCATGGATTTGTCCAGATTCCAATCAGTTTAAAAAAAAAAAAAGCAAAACATGTTTGTGTCCCTCTCACTTTACAATTACACACTAAAATTTGTATGAACATTTTTGCAAGACATTAATTTCTACATCATTTGAATATGCATCTGTGTAGGTTGAGGACCACACTGATTTTAGCCATAGATAACAGGCGTGTGTAGAAGTTGCACCTGCCTGTAGACGTTCATGCTTAGTTTCAAGCCAGGTGTTCTTTCTTGTCCTGTCTGCGAAGGTGATGCTCTGAAATGTCACACATGCGTGGCGTCAAGCGAGGAGGACTGCAACAAGCAGGGCTCCACTTCGTGTCCGCAGTATGCCGATGCCTGCTCCACCATCACAGGGCCGAGTGAGTAAACACACAAAGGCTTTAGGACCTACAGCACAAGCTTCACTAGGGGTCAGGAAAACACTGCAAGATCATATCTGTCACAGTCGGGAGTTAAAGGAGGTCAGACAGCTTAATGGAGTTGTCAGACTGTATCTATTGACAGCTGGAGCTTTTATAGGCCCAATGCAAGGAGCTGTGGTATTTTGGATCTCTTGTAAAACTGACTGAGTCATTTTTTTCTATGTTGATAATCCTTTTGTTTCCATGCATATGAAGGTGCTTGTTCTTAAATATAAATGTGCATAAAACGTTTGCATGTTGTTGTGAAAATGTGTAGGGCAACTATAAAACACATCTCTTACCATTGTTGAATGTTTGCTGAGAGGCTTTTTGCAGACTTTTGTATATGTATTGCTTTTTTTTGTCTTCATCTGCTGTTGCATGGTTGGAATCTGACTCACAGACTCAACGTCTGCATCTCGATTTCTTTCAGACACTGTAATGAAGTCATGCACATACAAGGCCTTCTGTGACAAAGCGCATGGGAGCAGCTCAGGGGCCAAGATAGAGTGCTGCTTTGGTGACGACTGTAACGGTCCCCACCGGAGCCACCACCGCAACGCCTCAGGGGCATTGTCTACTAGCCCAGTGGTGCTGATCACCTCCCTGCTGCTGCTGCTGCACAATGCCTTCAGTCAGTTCTGAACTCCTCTAGATTCCCTTTCACCTCACACCTCCTCTTCATGTGTTTTTACTGATAATGTCATCAATCCAAGTTCAAAAGAAAATCTGAAGTGCAGAGAGTGTTTGGCGGTTTCAGAGCAAGAACTTCACCTTATGATCATGGTGGTGCATAAAAAGGTTCTCTCACTCATTTGCAAACTGCATTTTAACAGCTTTAATTGTCTCATATTAAACATAAATGATTTATTTTTATTAGTTGCACAATGAGATGAGATCCTTCTACAAAGTAATGTCTGAACCTGGGAGTGTTTATGATGAATAAATTTGTGAAAAGTAAAGAACTCCTACTCACAGTGCAGACAGGGGGTGGCCGGTGTGGTTTCGGCAGGCAGACGGCTCACTTCGCATTACCCCCCTCAGTCATTACCATGGTAATCTAATCATTTATTGTGCTTTCTAGTTCGTCTGAATAAAAACAAAATCACACCTCAGCCTCCGATGTCTCCTCAATCTCTGTATGCTTCGAGAAAAACCTTTCCTCATAAAACCCCCTGAAAACATTCAGACTCTGTTCTCGGCTGAAGTAAGGGGGTCTGTGGAAACTTCAACATTTCCTTTCTGTACAACACTTGAATCTTTTGTGCAGCCACTGCTGGAATATAAATCAGCAAGGTAGGTCTCTGTCCTCGGGAGGGTCATATGACACTTTACCACTTCCTCCTAGCAGGGAAGAACATACATTTTACCTAGAAAAAAAGATGACAGAGTGCAAAACCACTACCTGCACAAAACTTCACCAATTTGGCTGATAAGAGGCTCTGTGTAAGGTGAGAGAGGCTGCAAAATGTGTATTACTAATTTAAATTTGAATCTTCAAATCTTAACCAGAGAAGGAGCAAAGTGTTGAAACAAGGAAGTTGAGCTAATTTGTGGTTACCTTTGTTTGAAGGTGGAAAAAAAAAATAACGGCAAAAGCCTCAAAGAGCTGCAAATCACAACCCACTGAGGGTGATTTTAGAGAAAAGACTTTTCCATGCTTTGGTGCTTTACTTTGCAGATTGATATTGTTTTGCTTTGAAACCCGAGGTAGCTTTAGACAAAAACTCAAACACTGGCTTTTTCTTCCATTAGAGATGACTCAAAACAAGACAAAGACTGATAGTACAAAAGAATATAAAAGTAACAGGGAGAATAAATAAAGTCTCACACTTTGCTTTAAAAAAAGAATAGAATTGCACAGATGTGGATTTTCCACTCTTGTCACCTCATTATGACAAACTCTAGATATATATTGGTTGTGTGATAGACCAGCACATGTCGTGCATAACGCTTCATGAAAAAGAAAGGACTTTAAAAAAAATTGAAAAGCCATATATGTATTTGACTTCTCTTGTTACGATAACCCTAATTTAGATCTGTTTGCTTGATTAAGTTGTTTTACTACTATTCACTTTTGTGTAATAAAAACTCACAAATGAGTCTCATATTAAATTCAGATTTTCTGTGAAGGCCTCAAGGGTGTGTTACAGAAAGTTAGAGCATAAACAGCATCAAGAAGACCAAGAAACACAGCAGACAGGTCAGGGAGAGCACTTTGGAGAAGTTTAAAGCAGAGTTAGATAAAGAAAAAATGGTTTTAAAAATACTTTTAAAGTCTTACTTCATCTACCATTTAGCACAGAAAGGGCACAACTTTAGACCTATCAATACATGGTCATCCATCAAAACTGTCAGACCGGGCAAGTCAACAGGAGAGGAGGAAAGCCTAGTATAAAATAGAACAAAAAGGGTCCAAAATAATAGAGCTAAAAGCAAATAAAACTACCAAAAAATAACTTGAAGATAGGCTAAACAAATGTGAGCATACCAAATTGGACCAAAACTTGTCAAAAATAACAAACGGTTCCTCCTTCTTCAGTGAGGATAAATTATCCAACACAAAGGTTCAACATGACTGAGTTTGTGGGACAAATGAAATAAAGTAAGCTGGTTTAATGTGGTACTGTATAAAGCACATGTCTAATAATAGCTGTATAACATTAAAAACTGCAAGTAAAAACTTGACTTGACAGATGAAGTTCCCAGAGTCACTATTTATTCCCTTTTAAGTGATCCAATTATAGGGTTACAATCATAAAGGTTATCATAGAGGCTATCATAAAGCTTTACAATCAGATCATAACATGTATTTATTTTGTTTGAGCTAAGCTGTAAAGTGATTTAATTGCAGTTTTTAAATTGCTATATAAATTAATTTAACAATGAAATTCTTATATTTAGCCATAATAAGGCCATATGATTTCACATATTCTGAACTTGTTTAATCTGTGAGTGGTACCCATCAAATCTAGAGAGTTGGACAGTTAGGTAAGATCATTGGTCTAAATCTAGCCCATTGTGTGGGTTAACCAATCAGGTATAAGTATCCACTATAGAATTGTAGTCAATAAAGGACTGTTTCTTCCTGCTCTTTCCTAAGAAACCCTAAACTCATAATTTTTGACTCTCTTGCTCATTTATGCGTTAGCTTCCATGGATTTCCATGAAGTCCTAAGCAAATTTGATTTTGGGGCCCTTTATTTATGTCAATGCAACAGTGCAATAATCCGATCATTTACACACCAACTATAAACTCATTGGAGTGTTGTTTACAGTCTTTTGCAAGCTAAAATTAATATAATAAACTAGCTTGCTGTTAAATCAGGATTTGGTTGAGGTTTGGGGACCCACATGCAGAGGCAGGGAGGCAGAGGCGAGTTTCTTGATGATTTAATGAAGAGTAAACAAACAACTGAGGCAGGAATCCAAAATCCAAAAAGTCAAACATGAAAACAGAGTCAAACAAACCATGGAGACATCGGGAGTGAGGGACTATCACGAGGAGGAAGACTCAGAGAGACGGAGTTGGAGGAAGTTAGACGAAAAACCAGCACTGAGGAACTGAACAGAGAGTATATTTATGGGAGACTGAAACAAAGAGAGGACTAACGAGGAGATTGGGAGCAGGTGTGAACAGAGCAGAACAGGAGCTAGGGAGAAAGGAGAACACAAGAGGGCAGCCGAGGGCAACAAATAAAAACCTGAAAACTGAATAATAACCAGAAAACACAGCAAAATAAGAATTAAACCACTAGAAAACATGGAGCAAAGTAAAACTAAATACTCAAAAGAAAACATAACAGAACCAAAACTATGACATCTTTAAATAGTGGAAACCACTAGTTTGTTTTTATGTATAAATAATGATTTCTTCAATGATTAGACATACTAATTTAAAAAAATCTGTTCTATCATCAAAGTAATTTTTTGTTACTATAATGATATAGAGATCAATTTTTATTCAAAACACCCAAAGATCAAAACACCCAGTTGTCCTAGGGCCCTAAGCAGTCACTGTTTGCCTTTGCCTTAGGCCGGCCCTGTGTGTTAGTAAACTCTTCACAACTTATTTCATTTTTATTTCCCTTTTGCTGTGTAAACATATTACTTTACTGGTTCATTTATTTAACTTAGGCACCTGTATGTAAGAGCATTATCTTTGTGTGCTCCTGTTTGCCCGGGTATGTGCTCCCTTATTTTACAGCTCTTGTTTCAGCAGAGGGAGTTTGACCTAGTTCCTGAGAGAGAAAAAAATAACCCAGGAGATACCATGGCGCGCAGAGAGAAAAGTTCTGATTAATGGGAGTCCTCTATTAGTGGTATATTTGTTTTACAAAATGTTGTCATTTTTATAACAGTGTTTATGAGGCTGAGGTTTTTTTTTTTCTCGGTTAAGCAGCAGTAGGGGAGGTGGAGGAGGAGGAGGTTGAGGTTGGAGCTCAGGGGACGCATAGCTCACATCCGGGGCTGGTTTATTCTAATACCAAAACGTCCGACCCGGAAAAAAAGTCAAGCCTCCGTCACCCGATCACTCAAACAAAATAGAGGGTAGAGTGAGGGCGTCGTGCACGCTAGTTTTTTTTTTTTTTTAATCAACTCTGTAGAAGTTGTTTAAAAGTTGCTGTGAGGATGATCGCACGCGCCGGGGCGCGCTCGCTGCTCTCCGCTTGGTTTCAGGGCGCTGGCTGTGGCGCACTGTGACTCTCCACAGCGTGTAAGTATGCAGACAGCAGCCGCAGCAGGGCCACTTCATGGCTCATGCTGGTGCTGCGATCTGCAGTAGGTGTGGCATTCTGTAGACTGGTTGCTGTCAGTGAGTCACTGCAAGTCATCTGAGCTGAACTAATGTTGTGGATTGTTAGGTGTTGCTGAGTAATTCGGTCTGAGAACAGTTTAGTTTTACATGCTCATAACTCAGTGTGAAGTTGAGTCAAAACGGTTTCTGTAATTCTGTAAGCTGATAATTAATGTGCTACTTTATACCAATAAACGCTTTCCTGTCCTCTATGTACCTAGATATCATCCATTTGGATTAGGTTCAATATGTTTTACATGTTAACCACTATTTAATTCAGCTCAGCTGTATTTTGCTCTGAGGTTGCTTTGCAGCAATATATATATATTTTTCTGGCCACAGAAAAAAAATCCCTTTGAAATTTTAAGGTGTTCTTTTGATGCATGGAATGAATGTAGGGAAAATTAATCCTTCAGGTCACTTGAAATTCCAGTTTCTGGCAGATGATTGCTGAATCATTGGTCTAAAAGAAAGCTGGTATTTACAAATGATTTTACAAATTGTGTGTTCTTCCTTCTTCTTTTCTAAATACCCTAAAAGTAAGGCGTGGGTCACTTTTAAGATTCTTGTGGTGTGATAGTTAAAATCTTTCATTCTGTCAGAAAGCGGCTCTCTGCAAAGATTCAATTTTTACTTGTTAAAGTTCATTTTCAAAGCACAGCATTGATTGGAAAAGTTGAAAGGTGATCTGAGCTGGAAATGCACCGATCTGTGCTCTTTTAGCCGGTACCCTTTTCTGATATTCATGGAAGATCAATGTGTTGCCTCTTATTTTTACTGGAATATTTTGCTTAGCACTTTAATTAGTTATTTTATCATCAGTAACTGTGTTGTCTTTGGTGCTCCAACTGAGCATTCGACGATAGACTTGCTAAATTGTTCTATAAGCAATCTTTATATTTGCTGTTATGCAATGCATTGGAAGAATTAGGAGAAGGAGCTAATCATTATTCCATTTCTTCATACAAGATCTTTACAGTTACTGATATTTAATCTAGCTCCTAAATACCACCAAAACATTTTCAGCCCTTCAATATTTATTATTTTTCTGTTTTTGAATCACAGATTTTTCTTTTTCATTTGAACTATGGTACGAATTGCCCGAGAATTTTGTCTTAAACAAAGCTGCAGCTTTTAAAAATTTGTTTATCCTAAGAATAATTTTGGTCTCAGTCAAAATGTCATTTCTTTGCTGTTTTGAATGTAACCATAAATTTGGAAATAATACTTTTTAGAAATTTTGCTATTGCACCTTATGCAGCATGGAAGAGTTTAAAATGGGTTGCCGGTTGTTTGAAAGAACTATTTTTTTTATCCAAAAGAAGGAAGACCAAGAAGGAAACAGAGGATGGTCTTAATTTATGCATCAAAGCATATGTCTGTAACTTTAGCAGATATTTTTAAAAAATGCATGAGATAAGAATATATTTATCGACTGAAATTGGTGAAGTTCTTACTTTTGATCCTTCAAATAAATGTGGAAAGAAACAGAAGCTGATTCAGATTTCTACCCATTTGATTGGTTAATCACTAAGCTAAGAGGAAGGAAATGTATTTACAAAGTAGAAGGTGCCTCACATCTGAACTTACTCAACTAATAAGCTAATATTAGCTGGTAATTGGTCAGGCTATCCTCTTGGGGAGCCTGCATTCTTCCTGAAGCTTACCAGCTGCGGTCTTAAAACACCATTTCCTCAGAAACAAAGATACAGTAGGTGGCCCTCATCTTGTTTCTACACCACGGCTGCCTGTATTTTTTCATGACAAGTAATTAAGCTTCTCTCAGCCAGCTAACTGGCAGTGCACAGCACAATGTGTAGGAGGTATGGGGCGCTTCTTCTCACTGTATGAAAACAGCTGGTAACTCTAGCATTTTTCACTGTGTTGCTTCTAATTAGACTGTAAAGTAACATGAATGATGGTAACAACGTAGTGGTTTAGAAACCATAAAATTTTTAAGCCATTACACCTGCCTGCTTAGTTAAACATTTTATTCTTTCCTTATTCTGCTGCAGTTGACCCCAACTATTCCAACCAGTGTTCGCCTGTAACTGGATCTGCTCTCTAAATGCTTACTCTTAACTTTTTGCCTGTCTGACTGGGTGATCTTGTCCAAGAATAGTCATTGTTTATATAAGTAGGTTTCACTTCATTACTCTGTATGTTTTGTGTCACATCTTTAATCGAAATACAGTGGGCTTTTTTCCCTAAAAGTTGTATGTGTCTTGTTTACCTTGGATTTTAAAAACAGGGCATTTCAAATGTAATCCGAGTTTTATTTATTGGTTTGGTTTCACCAACGCTGAAAAGGCTACCCACAGTTTTACCCATATACCAGATGTTTTCTGATACCCAGAATAGCTTGCGTGCATAAACTTGTGTGGATGTGTGCTTTAGCGTTGGCATGGTTGTGACCCATGGTCCTCTATCTTTATGTTTCCATCCCAGCCCGTGCTTCTGCTAATGCCTCCTGTAACTTTGACCTATTTCAGACGCAAACCTGCACGATTGACGCATGTGAAGCAGAGCCTAGTTTCAAAATGAGACCTTTTTCTTAAGCATTGGTTTAAAAATAACCTAGCAGTAGTTCCACCCAGCAGGTGTGACCTGTGAGTCTGATGTCGTCTCTTGCTCTGGTTCTTGTGGGAACTGTTCCATGGAAAGGTTGATCTTTTTTGCCTTGCAGAGGCAACTTGGGCTTAAAAAAATAAGGGCAGCACGAGTGGTTATAGACAACCGTCACATTATAGTTTGCAGCACATCTGCCACGGATGAGGCCTGGTTAACCATCATGCTAACTTTTTGCTTTTTGTTTCTCATAAAACCCTTTAATAGTTTTAAATGTCTAAAAATGGAAAGAGTTTGGAATCTGTGTGCTTCAGACAGTTTTTTGATTGCTTCTGTTTTAGTGAGGCTAATAAATGAAACTGCTAAAATGGGTGAGATCACATAAATAAACAGAATAAATATGAGAAGTACAGTCGAGTTTCTGAGCTTTATTAGACCAGATTATTTTTAGGAATCAGATAGCTTCTCTGTATTTTACATGCACTGCATCATTTTCTATAAACGGCACTCTCCAAGCCACACTTCTCCTACTTGATCACCGCTCTTTCCTATCCCCTGTCCTGTGGAAATATGTGTTTCCACAATGGGCTCCAGATCTATGTGCAGATCTGGAGCCCAGTGTGTAATTTTCAGCTGTGGTGGAGGGCCTCAGCTCAGCCTCGGGCTTTCAGCTTTTGCAGCTCAGCCTCAATCACGTCACATGAAAAACTGCTGAGTGCAAGCGGGTCTTTCTCTCTCTCTTCCTGTAAGTCTGAACTTTTAACTAAAGGATGATTTACCCTCAACATCTGCCTGTCTCTGCCTCTGTGTCTCAGTGATTATGTGATAGTGGCAGCGATGCCGTATCTGGATCGCTTGAACCGAGTGTGCGGCTTCCTTGACATCGAGGAGAAGGAAAACAGCTGTCGCTTCCAGAGGCGATACTTCATCCTCGACACGCCAGGGAATGTTCTGCAATGGTATATGGACAATCCCCAGGTGCTTATACACACAACACGCCGCTAAACTGGACCCGCGTTTGCACAAGCAGCAGGAGGAAATGAAGAATGATCAATATAAGGCTGTGGGACCTTGGACTCTGAGCTAATGAGTGCTCTGTGTGTTTGTGTTTGCATGCAGAACCTGGCCAGAGAAGCCAGCTTTGTAGGGAGCCTGAAATTGACCTACATCTCTAAGGTAAAACATGCACTCATGGTACTATTTAAAGGGATTCTAACTGTAGGCTACATTCAACTATATTATATAAATGATATATAAATTATAAAAATATAGTAAAAGTAAAGGGATTGTGCATAGTTCTCAGACTAAACTATATTTAGTTTCAGCCAGATTCATTTTAAACTTTGTTTTGGTTCTGCCATATGTTGATGCCCAAATCTTAGATTTTTTGCTGCATTCAGGTACATTTACTAAATTAATTTTCATACTTTTTAACTAGCAAGCAAGAGATTGTAAAAATATTTGCATTTATTTTAGCCTCACCCTCCTTTACCCTTGAGTTGGTACGACCCATCTCAACCCACGCAGCACAGTTTCATGTAGAAATAAGGGTCTTCATCTCAGCCTAATCTGTTCAGTCAGAAATCTGAAGAAAAAAAAAATACTGTTGCCTAAAAGCTGCTCTGCTGTGATATTTGAAGTTAAATAATCATCATCTCAGTCCTGTTTTTTTGGATGTCAGGATTTTTTTTCAGCTTTAGAGCTGAGCAACAAGGTTAAATAAAATGTTTCTGATGTTAAGAAAACTTGAAACAAAATGAAATAAAATAAAAAACTTTATAGCAACCAAATGTAAAAAGTCGATCAGGTTTCCGTTTTTACCCAGTTGGGCAAAAGGTTTTGCATGTTTTGTGCTTCATACGTGCAGACTCCAGGAAGGATTATTCACAAAGGACCTATAAGCCAATCGGAGGCAAACTTCTGGAAATGTGTGACCATGTTACACTGTAAAGCCAATTATGAAGAATATATACAGATATTTGTTGTCTGTTTGTATTCTTAAGACTCAGGGAGAGAAAAAAACACTCTCTGTACGGTAGGTAAAATTATTTCCATGTTCAAGGTGTTTCCATGTTACATGTTTCAGATGTGAACATTTTATTAAATTAAAAGGTTTTTAATTTAGTTTAACATTTTGTTCACTGATCATGATTTTGATCATGAAATTTGAAAATAGAGTAGTTGTCTTCAGAACAAAAAAAAAAAAAAACAGAATGTCAAAATGGTGGGAAAAAAACAGTTTTAACTGAATCTGTTATCCATTAGGAATATTTGAAAGAACTTTAAATAAAAGCAGTTCTTGTGAAAGGTGAAAGGTCAGATCTGGAGCATTTGTGCTTATTTCACCCACAAGTAATGTGGAAATTCACTCAAGGATTCACAGATACTCTAGAACTCAGGGTTATCTGCAGTTCCAGTTTGGAGTTGCACACAGCAAAGATGTGAAGTTTTCCAGATGTTAGTTTGCTCACACAGATAATGACATCTGGCTTCAATGACATCAAAGATTCTTCTCTCCTCTTCTCTTCTGTCCTCCAAGGTGAGCGAAGCCACTCCAAAGCAAAAGCCAAAGACTGAGTTCTGTTTCGGTGAGTTTTATTTTGCAGCCGGCGATAAACCCCTGGTGTGCATGTATAGCATTACACAATTGTGCAAATTTTTATTACACACGTGATAAAATCACCCAGAGCGGTCACTGTGGATTTAATGGAATTCTTCTCTGTTTTCCTTGGTGTTTTTTTGGCAGTCATAAATGCAGTTTCGCGGCGGTACTTCCTCCAAGCTAATGATGTGACCGACATGAAGGAGTGGGTCAATGCACTCAACAAAGCCAGCAAGATCACTGTAAGAGAAACACACATGGATGTTGCCTTGCTTCACTAATTTCCTGGTGAATTCAAGACAGGCATTGATGGAGGCGGTTTATTCCCCCCCATTAATGCAGGATGCTCTAAAGCCAATTTGGTCCCATTAGTTTTGCAGATGCTAGCATATCACCCATAAATAGGGTGGCCAGATGTCCGGCTTTAGGGCGGACAGTCCGGATTTTCATTGCACTGTCCGGCGCCGCATCCAGCCGGACGTGTATTTGCCCTCCTTTACCCACAGATTCCACATACTCCGTCAGTGCTCCGCTCCGCTCAAGTACGTCGTGCGGAGTACTTGTCTGTCATGTAAATCAATGAGAGCTGTTCCACATCCTCCACTACTCCTCCGCACGTCTCTGTCCACGTACGTCTTCTCCGTCCTTCACCGTCAAAATACGGAACTGAGCTCTTTTTGGCTCCGCTCCCGTCAGTCCAGATCAAGACCCGCAATTGCAATCGCACCAAACAGGATAAAGAATGTAGAGAAGATCCGGTTTGTCAAATTAAATTATAGTAAAAACAGGTCGGTTACTAGAAATTAGAGCATAGTTCGTATATATTCCCAAAATTAAGAGCAATTAATTAAATAACTGGATGCAGACTATTGGTGCTTCAACAGACCAAAAAATTCTTATTGCAGCAATGGATGAAGAGATGATGAGTTTGGAAGCGGAGAACAAACATAGTTCATACAAACTATGGATGATTCTGTTTATTCCTGTTACAAAAATCCACAACAGAAAGAAAATATTTGGGCAGAAACTGAACATCTGCTGGATGATGATGGGGATATTTTTTAATATGTCATATTAAATTAAACGTTCACAGGGTTTATACCGGAATGAGGAACTCTAATTTAATGCTCTTTTAATGCTATTAGAAATAATTTTAATTTCATCAACAAGTATCATGTACACAAGTTATTAGTATACATGAAATAAGGAGCTGTAAGCACAGTTCCATGACTCAAGTTTGTGTATATATATATATATCTATATATATATAATCTATATATATAGATATATATATATATAGATAGATAGATAACATGGGGAAATCATCTTTACTCTCGACAGACTGCAGCCATGTCACGAATTCCTCTTTTCCAGCCACTTTTTGACATTTGTATTGTCCTATTCTCTAGCTCTCTCTCCGCCTCAAGCTTATTTTCCAAACAACTGCTTTATGATTAATTGCAGCAGTTCTGCTCAAATTAATCGTGTCAAAAAATAGTCACTTTTTAAACACCACAATGTATTAAATAAATACAAATGCTGGGAACCAATTCTTTTTTTACATCTCTTTAATATTTTGTTCTATTCAACTACACCAGCATCATCTTTAAACTACTAAGAATTGTACTATAAATGTGACTTTACCCGATTCTTATGTACACCGTAGTAATTTATTGATATGCCGCACAATGTCCTCCTTTTTGGTGCTATAGAAATGGCCACCCTACCCATAAATACCCTCTGTTATACACCCTGAATGGAGAAATGGTGAATGTGTGACAGCATCAGTGATAACAGTCACACGTCAATGTGGTGAATGTGTCAACATCTAGTTTGCAGCTTTGCATAATATGTGTGTATTCAGCTGGAGGGGGAGGCTTTGACATGTGGCGTCCAGATGTCTAATGGAGCAGGTGTTAGAGAGGAGAGCATTTTTGCTGTGCTCACCTGCTCGCTGTCACAGGAAGCGCCGTTGCTTGCTTTGTCTTTCACTTCCCTATCGTAGAGGAGCGGAGGGGTGGTAGCTGCTCTGCTTCTTTGCTGTGACTTATTCTGATCTTCCTTAGAGTCAATGACAACTACTCTGAGACAGAGGGGACGGGATGTAAGGGCAGCGTTGAAAAGGAAACGACTTATGAAAATAATGTTGTGGTTAAAGTTTGAAACATGAAATCATTATTATTTTTATCTTGCTCTCTGTGCTAGTTGAGTGTATATTTTCGTAGTCTTGGAGAAGTACTCTGATCCTCTATGACGTCAGAATCAAGGCAGTTAAGGTTTGTTAGGGCTTGCTAGCGTGCTCCCTTGAATTAAACCCAGTGAGAAACTTAATGCATTTTGCATATCACAATTAGAAAATGCTATCCTCTCAAAGGTTTTTATATTTTGTGCTATGCAACCTCTGCACCTTTGAGAGGTAGTTTCTAAAAAGCTGTTTAAGAAATACAGTGGATAAGAAGGCGTCTTATTTATTTATGATGTTGTTTCCTGGCTGGAGAAATGAGAAATATTAATATTGTCTGTTTGTTCACAGTACAGTCACAAACTCTAAATAGTTTTTAAATGGACTACCTTGTCCATCTTTTCGCCTTTCTTCCTATCAAATTCCTATAGGTGGCCATGATGCTGCTGCCACCCTGTTTCACCATGGGCTAGGCATATAACGGTGGTGTGTGCTTCTAGCAATGCTATTCTGCAATCATTTCTTCAGATCTAACCAGAGAGCCTCTCTCCTCATGTCATCTATAAAACAAACAGGACTTCTGAAGGCTTTATTTCAATAGTTTCCAAATTTAGGATTTATTTGTAAAATCTGCATACCCCTTCGTTATCCTGTGTACAATTTTCCTACCTGAGCCATTCGTTTCTGCAGGTCCTGCAGAGTTATCAAGGACCTCTTAGTTGTTTCTTTGATGATTTCTCTATGGCCCCTTTTTTGTTTCCTCTAGACAGCGTCGTCTTGCTAAATTTGAATATTTGTCACATTTTTTTTCACTTTGGGAGGATTCAGTAAACAAAGATATGTAGTATATATACACAAAGGCTGCAATAATATGATAACCTAAAGATGATTTATACTTCTTTTCATCCTTACCTTGACCCGTCTGCTGTGGTCATTGGTCTTTGTGATGCTGTTTGTTTGCTAATGTTCTCTAACGAAGCTCTGAGGAGTTAACAGAACAGCTGAGAGGAGATGATGCACAGTTTGAATCTATTTACTGATTAGGTGACTTCTTAAAGGATTTGGTTGTCCTGTGTTTTGAAAAGTAGATTGGGAGGCAGATCTTTTAGTTATCAGGCTCCTCTCCTGTGGAACCAACTACCAGTTTTAGTACTTGAGGCAGATAACCTGTCTACTTTTAAGGGTAGGCTTAAAACTTTCCTTTTTGATAAAGCTTATAGTTAGAGTGGCTCCGGTTATCCTGAGCTATCTCTATAGTTATGCTGCTATAGGCTTAGACTTCTGGAGGACATATGGACCCCTTTTTCATCATTCTTCTTTATTCTGTCTCTATTCTCCCACTCTGCAGAATCTGTTAGTTCTATCTCTAATGTTCTACTCTCTCTGCTTTTTCTCATAGTAGCTTCATCTGGTCTTTTCCTGTTTGACTGTGTGAAATATCAGCTGTGCTGCTGCTATTAACACCTTTGTTTATAAATGTTGGAGATCGGCCGGTTTCGCAGTGTATACCTGTTTTTCTGAGTGTGACTGACTGGATGTGCTCTCTTCATCCTTTGACATGGGAGTTGGCTCGAAGTTCGTCTGCCTGGCTGTGTTTTTCCTGGACGGGGCCGCCTTTTACAGTTGCCCTTTGTTTCTCTACTTCTGTCTCCTTGAACCCCAGTCGGCCTCGGCAGATGGCCGCTCACACTGAGCCTGGTTCTGCTGGAGGTTTCTTCCTGTTAAAAGGGATGTTTTCCTCCCCACTGTTTCTACACGCATGCTTAATATGAGGGATTGCCTTTGAGTCATTGAGTGCATTTAACAAATTTTCCTTGGTAAGAAACTCTTAATCAATTTGACTGTATGATCTGGTGAACTGTAAAGTGACTTGAGATTGCGTGTTGTAAATCGGCACTATATAAATAAACTGAATTGAATTGATGGAACTGGATTTTATTTAGGGGCACCAGAGTAATGGTGCATGATCACAAAAATACCAGATGTTTCAGATTTGTAATTTTACAACACAAACTATTTTGCTATGCACCACTTTTTGCTGGTCTGCATAAAAAACAATCCCAATCTAATTTTTTTAGTTTTATGGTTTTAATGGAAGTAAATACCTTGCAAGTTAAGTACAATTTGCTCATTCCTCGTTTCGTAATCAAGGTTGAATAAGAGAGGAGGAACAGAAGTTTTCATTCCTTAATATTTTGATAATTTTAGGAGACTATTCATACTTGATTTTGACCTTGTTGTGTTCTCTCAGGTTATCAATGTGTAGTTACAGATGTGGCAATAGTCACTACAGTAATCTTGCCCAAAGCAACTAGAATATAAAATTTAGTCTTTATAAAGAACTTTTAGTTTTAGGGAACTTTTTAAGGCTCCTTAAAAAGGAAATGAGCTGTGTATATGTGAAATTAGCTGAAAAATATCTATATTGCATAGTACACCGAATATTACTGTGACGAAAAAATTGCATCTGAATCTGCACGAGAATCTGCCTTTGTCCTTAATCTCTGTCCTTTAAAACAAAAAAAACTCAAAGGAAAGCTACACATCTTTAAGGCTTCTTTCTGGCTAAATAGAGTTAGATACTTGTTAGCACCTCTGACATTTAATTTCAAGCTAAATCCTAATATTGAACTGTTAGATACAGCACAAAAAATTAGGTTATTTTTCAAATGATTTAAAACACTTGTAGGCACCCTTTGCATAAATGTGTTTTCAATTAAACTGATCTTTTACACCACACTGAGCTCTGTATGTGAGTGAAACATGGGCTTGGGTTCTTTTAAAGCCATATTCAATTTCTTTTTTAATGGGCAAGGTTGGCATAAAGCTGTTTTTGTTTTTCTTTATTCTTGTTTCACACTTTGAAGATCTGCTCATATCAGCCTCTTTTGATTATTTTCATTATTTATTTATTTCTTTTTCGATTTTGAAGAGCAGGACTTTGTAGGAAAAATAAGTAACTTAATGCTCATCAAAAGTTCACTGACACTTTTGTTATCTTTTCAAATTAAAGGTCTGAATATCTGAAGCTGTTTTAACCCAGAATATCACAATGCTCCATATTTGATTATGCTACCTGTTGGCAGGTTCCTAAATCCTGCCCCACACCCGCCAAGTCTGAGTCGAATGCTGTCATCACTGATTCTCAGGGAGGAAGGAAACAACATGCCTACAAGGCAGAGATCATTGGTGGTGTGGTGGTGCACACTCCAATCCAGGTAAGACATTGGAAAAAGCTGAAACCTGCAGCAAAAGGACTTCAAAAGAAAGAAAAGGCCAAGATATAAAATACTTACAGCAAGGTTAAAATAATTCATATCCCTGGTAGATTATATTTCAAATGAGAGCTGAATAGTATGGAATCATAGTCATGATATTTGACAATATCAAAATCCCAATCGTCTGCTTGGATGCAACATTTGGCATTTTTAGTCAAAAGCATCTACATTCTGGTGCCCATGTCATACCTAGCCTATTGGATGGACTTTCTCTGAACTTCATGTCTATGCTTGATGCATATCATGTTGTGGTTATTATGCCAAGGACCTTATCTTTAAATAAACTGAAAATCTCACAGACAAAAACAACTGTCATGCAGTAGGTAGGCCTGTTGCGGGTGAGCACCAAACATCACATGTGCAACTGATGACACGCAAACCTCTTTTTTCCCCAGCCAATTGCATTTGTTACTGGCAGTTTGAGAAATGGTTAAAGAAAGATTAGGTTCTCAGCCATTGAGATTGGCAACTATACCTACTATTATAACTACAAACAATGATAATACAAAATTTTGTTTGTTGTTTTTTGTTGTTCAATTGGCTTCCTTTCCATCACAATCTTGAGTCTCCACAGACTCTAAATCAGACTTTTGTTTGACTCTAAAAAATTAAGGTTCATGAAATTTATACCAAATCTTCCAGGGGAAAATATGTTAGTAGCTGCAGAAGTGAAAATCTGTTGAAGTGAGAATTCTGCAAAATCTCATAGAAAATTTTAACGATTGTATAGTTTACTGATGCTGATGGTGGCAGCTATCATAGTGATCAGAGATTTCTCTGATTAAATCTTGTAGAATGAACCTGAAGACACAGAGGGAAGAGAGAAGAAGGGCAACAGGCCTGGTGTGCTGAGATGTGGTTTCTGTGTCAAGCAAGGAAATGTGGTGCGTGCTCCTTTTTATTTACAGTTCTTTTCAGAAAACACTTAAAACGAGTGATGAAAGAACATTTGGTTTTCCACTTGCAGAGGAAGAGCTGGAAGAGGCGTTTTTTCACCCTAGATGACAGCACAGTCAGCTACTATAAGACTGACACCGTGAGGAGCCTTTTCAGTTTTTGTTAATTTTTTGTTTGTTTTCTTTTTAATGCTCTCATCATGACTGTAGTTTGTTTGCTCATGATCAGGACAAGGAGCCTCTTCGAGGTATTCCACTCAGAGACATTCAGAAGGTCCATGAATGTCTTGTCAAGTCTGGGTGAGTCAAAAAAAAAAAATATCTGTCTGGTTCAGCCCTATCAGACTGTGCTTTCTCCTAATCTGCTTTATATATCGGAAATAGACATGAACAGAAATACAACATTTAGATATCATTTGAAAGTTTCAGTTTATGCTATTTTTATCCCATTCAAGTTTGTTTTGGTTTGCCTTTTTAGTGCATCATGGAGCTTAGATCTTATTGCAGAGGAGTCAGTTTCAGCTTCTGTGAGACTAAGTATGAAACCTGCTGCTGCATAGTTTCATACTGAATGCACTTTTTCACTTTGCATCTAAACTCTGCAAATAAAGGTTACTGCAGCACACTTTCCATGATATATCTTTAAAAACAACCATGATACTGACACATTGTGAGCTCTTAAATTAGAAATCAGCCAGTAATGATGGTAGTTTGCCTGTTTCTACTTTATTTACAAAACCAGTGTCTTAGTTCAAATTATAGTTAAATCAAAGTAGTATCAGATACTGTAGCTAAAAATGATCTGTTGTTGCTTATGGGAAAATTAAATTTTTCATTTAAACCATGAGAGTTAAATTTTTTAAATAAAGCAAGTATAAAAAAACATTCTTTACTCTGATTTCCTTCAGGGATCTCCTGTTTAGAGACAATCTTTTTGAGATCATCACCAACTCCCGAACTTTTTACATCCAGGTAAAAAAAAGTGTTTTGTATATATATATTTTTTTAGCATCATGTATTTTGTTTGCAAAGTAACGTATGTGCACCCCTTTAATAACAGTTTGTCACGTTACAGCCAAAAAGTTTTAAGTAAGTTGTAGGGATTTGTTGTGACAGACCAAAACCCCATTTTGAATTTTGGGGGGGACAGAAAATCATAAATGTTTTTCAATTCTGTTTTAAAAACAAAATATGAAGCATGTGTAAAATGAACTGCTTAGAATGGACACTATAAGTAACTGGTGGAGCTGTAGAGATCCACAGTTCATATGGGAGATTCTGTTAGCAAATATTAGTAGTGCAGTCTGCAAGTCTGGCTTTTATGGAGCAATTGGAAGATTAAGGAATGCCAAAAGAACGTCTGTTTTTTGTTCTTCACAGACCATGTTGGCCAGCTAGCTTTCATGTGTAGGACATTGCTCTAGTTAGATGTGACCGAAATATCACTTTTTCCAATGAAAACTTAATCTTTGCTGTGAACGATGAAGGTACAGCATTATACTGTTGGGAAACTTTTTTTTGGCAAGGGACAGGGAAGCTAGTTAGACTTCATTGGGACATTGATGGTGCTAGATACATGATAATCCAGGAAGAAATGTGCTGGAGGCCCCAAAAGACTTCTAACACAAATAGAGGTTCCTTTAAGCTGGAATGCATCCATAACTATTTAACCAGAGAAACAACAGGTTATATGAAAGCATATTAATATGTTTGAATGGTCTAATCAAAGTCCAGACCTAAATCTAATCCAAAGGACTTAAAAGTTGATGTTTACTAATGTTCCCGTCCAGGCTCACAAACTGTTTATCGCATTATAATTTAAGTTTAAATGAATAATAGATAGACAAATCAGTTTGGATGCAGTAAGCTGATAGATCTGCAAGGAAAGTGTGATTATCTTCCAATTAAATATGTGGCTGTGATTGTAAGCAATTTTTTAAAAATATAAAGGAGGAAATGCACTGTATATGAAAAGACAAATTCTTTTTTATCTGCCGTTGAGGATAGAGGTCTTCTTTAGAATCCCAGGTGTTTCTGTTGATGTCTTGAGATGTTTTTCTCGAAACGCTCTGCTGCTGATGTGTGGCCCGTACTCCTTTTTTAGCTGCCTAAACAGTTTGTTTTTAAGAAAAGGACGCAGCCATGTGTTACCATAACAGCAATGGTATCCTGTTCCTCCCCTTGGGAGAGCAGCTGACCAAGGCGTCAGCATCCAATCAGATGGGAAGTCAAGGGAGAGAACGAGACTAGCTGCAAGCACGAGTGCTTTAATGTTAGTGAGAGAAAAAAGGAAGTGCGAAAAAAGACTTGATGATCTCGGATAAACACAAAAACAAATTGGAAATGGATGCCACAACCTAGAACCTGAAGGAAAAACCTGAAAGCAAATCCAGCTTTTTACAGCTTTTATGTTTAAGTGATAAAATCCTAAGTAGTTTTATTATATGAGGATACAAGTTATAAATGTTGATATGGAACTGTCAAAAACCTTGTATTGAAAGAAGAACATCAACATAAAACACTAATGTCATGCAGATAAATAGAGCTTATATTTTATCTGACTAAAACATTAGCTGATACATTTTTCATATATTTATGTATTTAAATGAATAAGTTAAACTGTGAAAAGTATTTTAGAACTTAAGTTAGCATATTTTATGTGTACATTTAGTATACATGAGCTTTTAATGGATAGTATATTGGGATTAATTTGAAAAATGTTCGAATCAGCTTTTAAGATCAGTAGTTTCATATTCATTTGAACATGTCTGTTAAACTATTCACCTGCTTTGTAGACGTTCAAATCATCGTTCTTAAACAAAGAAATATTTAATAAAGAAGGAAAAACGGACAGATCCATAGGTCTGCAGGTTAACCGCACATTAAACAGACCTTTATAAAACTAAGACAAGGCCTGAACTACAGGTTTCTGATCAGTCTTGATGTATGTGAAAAAAATATTATAAAACTCCACTCTTTACCATGTCTCATTGTTTGTATGAGAAATATAGAATTGGAGAAAAAAAATAAAAGATTCATTTTATTGAGATATGTTTTCTTTTTCAATCTACAATATAAGGATTACAGATAATTTTTTGTTACATGTTTTTCTACATGTTTTCCAACTAATAATCAGTCATCAGTCATGCTCAAACCCTCCAACCCTCCTTTATGAAATGGAAATGTTCCTTTTCCTTTTCACTGCTAAGCTGCTGCTCATTCACTGTCTGAAAGCTGTATAAATAAAATGTATTTTTGTAAACAAAATGACAATAAAGTCATCTAAATCAAAGATTCAATTAAATTCAGTTCAGCTAATTTACATAACACCGATTCATAATATGTTATCTCAAGGCTCTATGGCAAATAAATCAGACAAACAGATTGGTTAAAATCTTATGTTGAATAGAAGATTTTCACAATATACATTAGTTGAATGATAGAAGGACAGGCAAAGATAAATTAGGTTGAATTTGTAATAAGAATAGAAAACGCCTTTTTTTTTCTATCCTTCCATCTATCAGTCATGTGAGGCTGCAATTAATTGGACGCATAATACGATGTATGAAGGGAAAGTGTGAGGTGACAAACTGTTCTCACGCTTTTATACATCTGAATTTTTTTGTTCACCGCAAATTTCAGATTTTCTCCCAATCACAAATTGTCAGTATGATGAGATGTGCACGCTTTTGTTCATGAGGCCCCTGGATCTTCAACATTCCTTTTTCTCTGCATATTTGGACATTAGTTGTCGAATTGGATATTGTGGTTAACATGATTATTGTTCTAGATTAAAAGAAAAAACACATTTATTTTAATTGTTATTTTATTCCAAATTACTTTATTTATGTATTGCCATCTTAAGGCTCTTTACAGGGAGAATTAAATTGTATCCTACATACAAACTGCTTTTTGTCTAAAGATTTCCTGCTGATTGCATCCAGTCATCGACTTAGCAAGATTCGCTCTTCCTAGATGAACATGTAGCAACCATAGATATTTGCTTGCATTGTGTGTTTGAATCTGCAGCAAAACCCTCACGTCCAGCGAGCATGTAGCGACATTGGAGAGGAAAAACTTCCTTTAACAGGAAGAAACTTCCAGCAGAACCAGTTTCAGTGAGAGCGGATTTTTGCTAAGGGCCAACTTAGGGTTCAAGAAGGCTAAAGTGCACACACAAAATGAAAATGTTTATGAATATTTCTGGGATACAAAAGCTAATGGTAAACTAGCTCTATATTTTGCTCTGTCTAGAAAAAAATGAATTCTTTGTTTTATCCTTTTTCTTCCCAAAAAGGATAAAACAAAGCACATACATTTTGTCTCAATATAAGCTGAACAACTAGCTATATCTAGTAGAGAAGCTGAACAAAATACTGAAAAACATGCCAAAGCCTGTCTTCTTCGAAGCGTGTTATAATGGCAACAGCCCAGCTGATGCCTTCCTCAAGGAGTGGTGTAACAGCTAGAAAGAGTGCCAGGCCAGAAGGTACTATGACGAGAAAAAGTGGTCCCTATATCCTCCTGCATCCTAAGCCTATAGCAGCATACCTACAGAGATACCTCAGGATCACCTCTTCTACTCTAACTATAAGCTTTATTTAGAAGGAAAGTTTTAGGCCTATTCTTAAAAGTAGACAGGGTGTCTCCCTCTCAGACTAAAGCTGGTAGTTTTTTTTTCTACTTCTCAATCTACTTAAAAAAAAATTCTAGTAACCACTATTAAACCTGCTGATTGGGAGCCTTGCATTTTAGATTCTATTCTGGAATTAACCGGAAGCTATTAAAGGGAAGCTAAAATCCAAGAACTGTGATCTCTCTTTTTGTATTTTCATCAAAACTCTAGCTGTAGCATTTTGGATCATCTGAAGACTTTTAACTACAGTTTGTGGACTTCCTGATAGTAAAGAATTATAATCCAGTCCAGCCTTGAAGTAAAAAATGCATGGTTTCGCAGCATCACCTCTGCAGAGGATACATCTAATTTTCCCACTATTTAGTAGAAGAAAGACAGAAATTTTAGAAAGCTGTTTAACATGGGATTTAAATGACAAGTCCTGATTTAAAATAACACCAAGATTTTTGTAAATCATTATTTTAATATTTTACATAAATATCCTTTTTTAAAGATTTTGCTGTCAGTTATCTTAAAGTTCTTATTTTTCTAAAGGGGGAAACAAACCTGAAATAGATGATAAATATTGTTGAACATCAGCATTTTTCGCTTCTTTCTTCCCTTAAGTTTAGTTTCCATCTTGCTAGAGTTGTACCATGTCGCCCTAGAGGTTGACCCACGACTAATGTCATTGCAAGGCTGCTTTCATTTTTCTTTGCTCGTTTATAAATATTAACCTAAATGTTTTTATGCTACCTAAAAAGGTAGGTACGAATTATAAAAGATGGGGACAGTTAAAGATGAACAGCTTCTTTTTGCATAAGAGCCCGGGGGAAAATGCTCCCCATTTTGCATATAGGTATTAACCTTACCATGCATGGGAAAAATTAACTCTTAACTGTTGTGACTCAAAGTCACAATAGTTTAAACATAGTAGCTTAGATTTTTACATTCTTTGATGGTAAAATGTACTTAAATAAACACAAAAAATGCAACAAAAATGAAAACTGTTAGCAGTTTTGGGGGAGCGGCAGCCTAGTGGTTAGGGCATAGGGCTTTGAAACCTGAGATTGTGAGTTCGATCCCTCACTCCCACAGACTGCCACTCTGGGTCCCTGAGCAAGACCCTTAACCTCACACTGCTCCCCGGGCGCCTCACAATGGCAGCTCACTGCTCCCCAAGGGGATGGGTTAAATGCAGAGAAGTAATTTCCCTCTGGGATTATTAGAGTATATAATAAATAAAATAAATAATGGCTTTTATGCCTTTAGAGCAAAGCATCCTGAAAAATGTGTAATTGTAGCTTTTGTTGTTTAGATACAATAAATATGTTAAGCTGACACATAGCTGACCGTTACTAAAACGTATTTATTAGGCCTGTTTTTATTGCTTCACCCATAGATTAAGCAAAAGACTCAAATTGTTTGAACTCTTAATAGTTCTTAGTAGTTTGCTTAAACATCATTTCTGAGATATTGTTTTAAGTTTATCCTCTGGTTTTCTCTACAGACAGACACCCCAGAGGAAATGCACGGTTGGATCAGGGATATTGAGACGAAAATTCGGGAATTCAGAGGACCGCCACGGGTAACCCAAGTTTCTTTCAGTCTCATATAAGCACATTTTTATTTCAAGTTTTGTAATAGCCAGTTTCTTGCAAAACATGTTTTATCCTCCTAAACTTTTAAAACCTCTTCCAAATTACAAACACATTTCTTTGAATATCATGTAGCTTCTAAGTGATAGACAAACTAAAGGTTGCATGGTTCTGATGTAGTTTTGGTTCTGAAGGGTTTCAAATATTTTAACAAGTCAAAGAAAGTACTTTTTAATCACCCCCTTTTACTATTATTTAGTGCAATTCACGAGTGTGGCTTAAATAGTAAACCTAAACACACCATCCTCAGTGGTGGCAGGGAATGGCTGTGTTCCCACTTGGCCTCCCCTCTCTTCCTCATCTACTTCCTCTTTCACGTCATCCCCCTCTAACTCCCTGACCACCCCAGCCCCCTGCCCCAGCACAAGCAGCGGGCTTGGGATGCTCACAGCGTCTGCAGACATTGCGAGCAGGCAGTCACAGCCCCAACCTCACTCTGCCTTTCCCATCAGCTTGGATGATAGTGACATTTACAGTTGTCTTTTGTATCTCTGCTTCTGTCTCCTTGAACCCCAGATGGCCTCGGCTGATGGCCGCTCACACTGAGCCTGGTTTTCTTCCTGTTAAAAGGGAGTTTTTCCTCTCCACTGTCGCTACAAGCATGCTTACAGGTGCTGGTCATAAAATTAGAATATCATGAAAAAGTAGATTGATTTCAGTAATTCCATTTAAAAAGTGAAACTTGTATATTATATTCATACATTACATACAAACTCATATATTTCAGATGTTTATTTTGTTTAATTTTGATGATTACAAATGACAACAAATGAAAATCTCAAATTCATCATATCAGAAAATTAGAATATTGTGAAAAGGTTCAAAATTGATGGCCCCTGGTGCCACACTCTAATCAGCTAATTAACTCAAACCACCTGCAAAAGCCTTTAAATGGTCTTTCAGTCTAGTTCTATAGGCTACACAATCATGGGGAAGACTGCTGACTTGACAGTTGTCCAAAAGACGACCATCGACACCTTGCACAAGGAGGGCAAGACACAAAAGGTCATCGCTAAAGAGGCTGGCTGTTCACAGAGCTCAGTGTCCAAGCACATTAATAGAGAGGCGAAGGGAAGGAAAAGATGTGGTCGAAAAAAGTGTACAAGCAAGAGAGATAACCGCACCCTGGAGAGGATTGTGAAACAAAACCCATTCAAAAATGTGGGGGAGATTCACAAAGAGTGGACTGCAGCTGGAGTGAGTGCTTCAAGAACCACCACACACAGACGTATGAAAGACATGGGTTTCTGCTGTCGCATTCCTTGTGTCAAGCCACTCTTGAACCACAGACAGCGTCAGAAGCGTCTTGCCTGGGCTAAAGAGAAACAGGACTGGACTGCTGGTGAGTGGTCCAAAGTCATGTTCTCTGATGAAAGTAAATTTTGCATTTCCTTTGGAAATCAAGGTCCCAGAGTCTGGAGGAAAAGAAGAGAGGCACTTCATCCACGTTGCTTGAAGTCCAGTGTAAAGTTTCCACAGTCAGTGATGGTTTGGGGTGCCATGTCATCTGCTGGTGTTGGTCCATTGTGTTTTCTGAGGTCCAGGGTCAACGCAGCCACATACCAGGAAGTTTTAGAGCACTTCATGCTTCCTGCAGCTGACCAACTTTTTGGAGATGCAGATTTCATTTTCCAACAGGACTTGGCACCTGCACACAGTGCCAAAGCTACCAGTACCTGGTTGAAGGACCATGGTATCCCTGTTCTTAATTGGCCAGCAAACTCTCCTGACCTTAACCCCATAGAAAATCTATGGGGTATTGTGAAGAAGAAGATGCAATACACCAGACCCAACAATTCAGAAGAGCTAAAAGCCACTATTAGAGCAACCTGGGCTATCATAACACCTGAGCAGTGCCACAGACTGATCGACTCCATGCCACGCCGCATTGCTGCAGTAATACAGGCCAAAGGAGGCCCAACTAAATACTGAGTGCTGTACATGCTCATACTTTTCATGTTCATACTTTTCAGTTGGCCAACATTTCTATAAATCCTTTGTTTTTATTGGTCTTCAGTAATATTCTAATTTTCTGATATGATGAATTTGAGATTTTCATTTGTTGTCATTTGTAATCATCAAAATTAAACAAAATAAACATCTGAAATATATGAGTTTGTATGTAATGTATGAATATAATATACAAGTTTCACTTTTTAAATGGAATTACTGAAATCAATCTACTTTTTCATGATATTCTAATTTTATGACCAGCACCTGTAGTGTGAGGAATTGCCATCGAGTCAATGAGTTGATGCAATCAACTGGTTTTCTTTAAATAGAAAACTTTAAATCAATCTGACTGTATGATTTAGTGAAACATAAAGTGCCTTGAGATGACATGTGTTGTGAATTGGCGCTATACAAATAAACTGAATTGAAGTGAATTGAATCATGTCATGGTACTACTCTTGCTTTACTTTTAGAGTTGTTTAATGCTGGGAAGTAAATCTTTGCCCCTGCGTCCATCAGCAAACTCACTCTAATCTTAAAACAAGAACTACGATACAACAAATTAAATCAAAGCATTTAATTGGCTTAAATGGCCTAAATGACGTAAATCAATTAAGCAATGTTGCAAGATTTAAAAAAAATATATATTTTTGCACATACAGAAAATGATCAAAATTTCAATAATTTCACTCTTGGTTCCTGAACACAAGTTCTTCGTAAAACATGAATTATTTTCCTTCCACTTCATAATTATCTGCTACTTTGAGCTTGTCATGAAATGTTATTATGTTGTAATATATTACAACATAACAGAATGTTCAAGGGGTGTGTGTATGTCTATGTATATGAAAGGTAAATATTGATTTTAAATAATAATTGTCCTATTTTCATGTCTTGTAATTGCAGGGATATCAGTTCAAAAGAGTTTCTTCTCTCCATCAAAAACAGAATGCTAGCGGTGCCTCTCGTCTGCAGAGTAGTGAGATGCGGCCCCAGCTGGTTAAATCCTGCTCTGTGGCTCCAGGCTGGCAGCCCTGGACGCCCGTGCCTCCGGGTGAGCCCTCCATCGTAGACATGGATGATGAGGACAGCCCTTTCAGCCCTGTTCCCACTCGGCCTTCCCTCTCTTCCTCATCTACTTCCTCTTCCACCTCATCCTCCTCTAACTCCCTGACCACCCTGGCCCCCTGCCCCAGTGGATCTGCGAGCAGCGGGCTTGTGATGCTCACAGCGTCTGCAGACATTGCGAGCGGGCGGCGCCGGCATCGCTCACAGCCCCAACCTCACTCTGCCTTTCCCTTCAGCTTGGATGATGATGGCATCCGCACAACAGATGTCTAACTCAGAGCAGTCTGTTGAGACTCCTGTGTTGACGAAAGTGTTGGTACCTCTTTTGTTTAAGTAATGAATGTGACTGGTAATGGTAGTATTCCCTGCCAATGAAGAAACAATATTCCCATGGCTTGAGATTTGGGGCCCCCTGTTGGTGATGATGCTGCTTTGCAGATGAAGGATGCACCGAGCTTGAAGTACGTGCAGAGGAACTTTCTTTATTGGTCCAAGGACTGTGAAAAGGAGATATGGAGTGTTTTAGAGCAACTTCCTCTGGAAACTTGAATGATCCTGTTAGTTTTTTTTTTTTTTTTTTTTTTAAACTTAAAAATGGTGGCACATGCTTTCAGACTTCTGCACTTTGCTTTGCTTAACTTTTATTAAAAAAAATGTTTAAAGGAGTTTTAAAGCTTATTAAAAATCTGTGCTTTTATACACACTTCACAAAAATGTACTTTTAATTTCTTTTCAATCTTGCGGTTTCTTCCAAGCCCAGCAGTGTTTCCGATCACTCTTTTTGAAACGCATCATGCATCATCTGCATACAATTTAATTTTCATTCTTTGTATTTCTAACATGGGTGATGTATTTACTCTATTTTTTTTTTTTAACTCTGCTTAAAGATCAACTGTCAGTTCACTGTGAGTCCATTTCAAGGTTTTAGCTCGGTACCAATGAAAGCGGTGCAATGTTACATTGGTACTTGTTGTAAAACATCCTGCTGGTATCACAGCTTATTATTGCGTTAGCAGCTTTGGAAATGTAAATGTGATTGCCATATTGCAGCATTATGTGGGACGTTTTTGCCACTACTTTTGTTAACTGAATTGCAATTCTGCACTTTGCATTTTGGAGTTGAACATATGTGTGTGTGTCTGAGTGATGGTGAAGATTTTTTATTTTTTTTCAAAGATTTGTTTGATCTTCCAGAGCAGTTAACTATACTTTCGTCATATCCTTGGTGTTGCTACACCAGCTCATGTTGAGGTCTCATTGATGTGGTACCGTGCTCATTCCTGTTTCCATTCTCTGAAGCTTTGTGCACTTAACCTGCCTGTGTTTCAAGGTAATTCTTTCTTGTATATTAAATAATGCCTTATATTTGTCTTGCTTGAATCACGTATTTCCTACTCTTTTTGATGGCCTTATGAAAAACAAAAGTCAAGTCAAAACTATAGTTTTCTAAAACACCTTTTGACTGAGTAAATAGCACCTTGACCTTTATGTGTTTGGTCTCTCAAAGGCAAATCTTGATTGTCAAGAGGTCAGAGTGAACAACAAATTTGCCCTTTAACACACTCACACTGTGTGGGAGCAAACAAGCACTCACATGCCTTTCTACCAACCAGAGGCGGTGCTAAGTGAAGTCTTTCACACATGCAGTGCAAAGTCTAGCAGGTGAAATGCCTTAAACCCACTATGTCCACTTCAGCCTCTGTCCTCTGCTGCAGCTGTGCAACTGAGGGACAGTAAATAGGTCTCCAATGAACAGTTAGAATTGTGTTAGAGGTATTAAAAGGCCACCAGGACTTGTGAAATGTCAGCTGTGTTGAAATTGGATTTCACTTTTATAAAACAAATCCCTTCTAGGTGCTGAGACGAGCCTAAGGAAAACCTTAAAAATAAATGTTTTTTTGGGACGTGATTGGACGTTTATTGCATGTTTGGTTTTCACTTACTACCGGTAAGCTAAGGAGTGTGAATAATTAATTTTAATATATAACCAAATTGACTTTTAGTGTTTTGTTTTTTTGTAAGTGTTCATCTGGAAATGATGCTTCCCGCTGGTTGCCCTTGAGGTCTAACTTCTTCTACCCATGTGCCCAAAGATAATATAAAGGTCATGTAGCACTGTAGTTTGACGCCTTTGAGTGACGGGCAGCTCAGAGGCCAGAGGCGGGCTGTTCTCCTAAATGGTAATGTTCCCACATGGCTGCATCTTCATAGCACTTCTCTGTCTTCACCACAGTCTTATGTGATTACTCTGCTGGAATAAAATGCTAGAAAATACAGTCACTACACCCCGAGGATTTAACATTGACCTCTTCTGAAATGCTGTTGCTTGTAGAATGAAATAAGAGTAACCGTGCAGTTTCCAACTTTACATCTTTTTTAGGTATTATTGGGTTAAACATGAAAAACACTTTGAAAATAAAAACCGGATGCACAGGTTTTAAAATTATGAATTTTCTATCCACTGGAAAGGATCATACAGGCTCAAATTCAATTCAGTTCATAAATGCATTTTCTGTGAGAAGCAGAACGGAGAGATACACAACATCTTGGCTGTCATTGCACAGCTTAATGCCTCTTGAATGACTGAGGTTTTATTATTATCATGAATCCAATTTTGTGTTTATCTGATTTTCTATGTTTTTAATCTTTGCTATTGGGCAGGTGTTTCTATCTGTCTGTCTGTCTGTCTGTCTAATCCCAATATATTTGTTGTAGATGTTTATAGCTGTAGGCTAGAGGGATCTTCTGTAGTGGTCTGTCTTACACTGAATCTGGAGAGGTCTTCGACTGAAGACACTATTGGTGTTTAAAGTATTATTATTAGGATGCTTACTTTTGTACATGATGTTCTTAATTTTATGAAGAATTATTTTTATTGTGAAAATATCTCCAAAGGTTCGAGAGGAGTTCTTGGAACAGCCATCCTTCTTGATTAGTTTGTCTAGCTTTTTAAGCTGTTTGTTCTAATGCCGTCCCCACAGCAGATGATGGCAGAAGAGATCACACTCTCCCCTACAGACTTATAGAAGATATCCAGCATCTTGCTGCAAACACTGAATGGCCAAAGCTTTCCTAAGAGGCACAGTCTGCTCTTTCTCTTCTTGTGGATGATTTCACGGTTGCGTCTCTAGTCGAGCTTGTTGTCCTAGTGAACACCAAGGTATTTTATATTTTTCCACCAACCTGCACTTCTCCTCTTATGATGGTTATAGGATTTGACTCTCCCTTGTATTGTTCACGTTCAGGATCAGATATTCGTTTTATCCTGGGTTTGATTCCTGGCCAAGGGTCTTTTCTGTATGGAGTTTGCATGTTCTCCCCATGCATGTGTTGGTTCTCTCTGGCTTTCTTCTAAAGTCTAATAATATGACTGTTAGGTAAATGCATCCTTGTCCTTAGGTGCAATTGTGTGCTGGGGTGTGTGTGTGTGTGTGTGTGTGCTTGATTGCACGTGTACATACGTACGCATGTGTGTATGTTTTCACACCATGCCAAAAAGTAGTTCACCAGTTACTATGCTAAGTTTATTTTCCATCTCTGATGCACCCAATGACTGCAGAGTCATCCAAGTATTAAAAAGGAATGGTGAGAATACTGTCCCCTCTGATGCTCCTGTGCTGCTGACTACCTAATCTGACAGCTGACCTTAAGTCTCTCGAACTATGGTCTGTTTGACAGGTAGTCTTTGATCTAGGAAATTGTTGGTGCCTCCACCTTGATCTTCTGGACTTTCTCACAAAGTAAGGATGAACTGTGCAAGATTCACTGATGTCTGTCTTGTCTAAAAGACTCTGGGTTTGTTGAAGCAGGTGTATGATGGCATCTTCAACTCCAATACCATGGCAATAAACAATAAGCAAACTTACCATGGTCAGAGTGTTGATAGCTGCTTTTTTGCTTGCCCAGGTGGACCAATGGAATGCTCTCTAGGACCTTCATGATATGGGATGTTGGGGCAACAGGTCCTCAGTAATTTAGAAATTTTAGCTGAGTTTCTTTATTATTGGAACAATGTATAAGGAAGATGAAACATTTGTGGTGTGGAAGGGAAACTTTGGATCAGAGAAGGATGAGATGTCCGTTCAACTGTGGGCAAGAGGAGGAAGTTGGTGAGCTTGTTCCTAAACTAAATCTATTAAAGATATATTCATGGCATTGGCTCTATCCAGACTTCCAGCTGTCTGAAACATCTTCTGCTGAACCCTGTGATCTTTTTCATGGCTGACCACACAGGTTGGCAGTATACACGAGAATTAGGAATCCTTAAAATCACCAGTTATTACCAAATATGGCTTTGGCTCTTGTGATTGCAGCTTAGCAACAATGACATATAATGATTCCATCACACATAGTGTTGGCAACAGCAGAAGGTTGAAATGAAATGGTTACCAAAAAAACATTTCTAAATTCTCTGAAACTATATGACCAAAATCCAACCCCCAACAGTTCAATATTAGGGCTGAAGAGACGAATCTTGATAGCAACATGTCCTGGAGAAGAGAACTGCCTCACAAAGAGGACTCACAAGAACTGCCATCCCACCTCCCTTGAGTTTTCCACTCTTGTTTAAATTTCTTTCTGCTCATATAACCAGAGGTCATAAACACCTTTGTATGTTTATGGCTAAAATCATTTGGGCAAGGTAACAGTTCTGGATCAAATATTAGTTGAACAGGTCAATGTTAAAACCTTGGGATGTAATGACTAGTATTTTGTAGCATTTTATTCCAGCAGGGCAATCACATAAGACTGTGGTGAGCACAGAGAATGTACAAAGGTATTTGAGACTGTTGTATAAACTTTGACCCTGAGTGGGTTAAAGAAATCTTCTAATGAATACCAAGTGGTACGTGGAGTTCTTAGTTGAACATGTTTGTTGTAAACTTTAGCTACTTTTAAAATAAGGCTTAAAATCCAATTTAAGACGACTGTTTATCTGGGATGATCGTTTAGACTTCTTTTAAACATGTTTATCCTCGAGACAGTTCTGTACTGCGGCCACTAGATGGAGCTGCGATACACCAGAAGTCATTGTCAACAAGCTGCGGTAAATGATAAAGAGAGATGCCCTTTGAGGAATAAGTCAGCAGTTTTCTGGTTCACAAAGAAATCTTTTACCAAGGGCACCCCTCTTAATCATAATGTGCAACATCTCTGATGAGTTGAATACCAAGTACAATAGTCAAAACATTTATATATTGTTTTTATATTGAATTTTTAGAATTAATAATGAATATAAACCGATTTTTACTATATTAAAATTAAAGGGAACATTTTAAAGCTGTTTGTGTTAGTGTGCATTTATGTGTTTGTAATCATCATAAATCTATAGATTACTTTTTCAAATCCAAATTTAATCCAGCCAGCAAAACGCATAATGATTTGAACTCTCATGACGATCAGTTAATCTTTTTTTAAGTTCCATCTAAGTTCCATCATTAAAAGTATTTAAGGGTTCCTTTCGATAATTTTGGTATGTTTTAATTTTTAAGAGGACGTCCCTCAGGTCTGCTGACGTCACTCAGTGCATGTCACTAAATCCACAGGTAAAAGGTTGAAAAATGCCCGACAAAAGAAGCAGTTCAATAGGTCTGTCTGTGTTAAAAGAACCATCTTTCCCACATTTTATAACATATGTGAAATAAATATATTATAATGTGTAGCAGGTTTCCCTTCATCTGGACTAAGAGGGGCCCTACTGGCCAGGGGCCCAGACCCTCTTCACCATCCACTGTTCCCACATCAGGCCACTTTACAAACTGAAGTTGGGAGGGGGGGCGGGGGGTTGTTGGAATGTATTTTGCTCTGTGTGATGTGATTGTTTGCAGAGGAATGGGTTGACCTTGCCCTTTAATGCCACACAGACACAATACAAATACGCCCCTTCTGCACACATGCACAAACACACTCAGGCTGAGCTGGAGGTGTGTGTGACATCCCCGCTGAGTGCAAGAGGTCTGGGACCTCCTCACCACTTCCTCCAGACAGAGAACAGAGAATGCAGTCAACTGCAGCAATGATGAGGCAATAATGAGTCTGCTAGAGACCAAAACTTACACACTTAAGGTATGTTTTAGGTGACTTTCGTTCTATTGTTTAATTAGGATCATTTCAGATTGATAAATATTATTCACATTCATAGATTTTATTAATGCAACAATTATACCCCCCATCCCCCAACCCATTAGAGAGAATGTTGTGGACATTTATGTAATTTTAGGCCTCGCAAAATAGATACGAAATACTTTAAAAACCATAATAAATTAAGATTTCTAGGATATTTCAGTTTCCAAAAATATTCCACTAATATTATCTTTTATTTTTAACTATTGTTTTTTACACCTTAGATATTTTATTAGGATAAAAAAAAACAAAACAAAACAAAAAAAACTAAATACTAATTATGACCAATATAATTAGACCTATAATGGACTCATTAGAGTATGAGCCTTTTTTATTGTAGTTTTTTTAAAATATATATATATATATATTCAGTTGTTTTTTATACGTATAACTTTCACTGTAATTGAATTGTAAATTGAATGTTGTTGTCCAGGTAAGAGTAAAAATGTCAAAGTTATTTCAGACAAGGCAATTTTAAATATCAAGATAAGGAAACTTGAATATTAAAAAACGAAAAATATAAAATTGAAAATCAGTCTGCAGTTTCCCCTGATGAATTAGATATCTGTCAGAACTTCCCCTCGAGTTTTTGCATATTAGGGGAAAGAATGTTAACCTGTTAATCTTTTCAGAAAATGTTTTAACCCGGAGATCCTCTAGAATAAAATTCACCTAATTTCCTTTCTGTTCTGCACCGTTTTCGAGCAGGAAAATTTTGAATTAGAAACTTTTTATGAAATTGAATGACACAATCTATAGTGATAGATAAATATATAGCCTATAGATACAGAAAGAATAACAGATGCCTTTATAATGGTAGCCTATCTTGCAACACCACAAAGTGACTAGACTACGGCTTATTGTTGCTTAACGATGCTTAATTAGGAAGGTTAAAGGGAAAATTAGGCTATAAACCTACTATTATACGCAAGCTACTGAAAATAGGACACAAAATGGCTCGGAAACCTCAAATATCTCCATTATTCTGCAGAGGTACGTGTCATTTTAACACCACCTATCTGATGGAATCGCATGAAGACAAAAGTATTCTGCATAGAATTTTATCTACTTATTCATCATAACAGCGCAGGAACTTGATGAATCTGCTATTACGAGAACGCGCAAACGTGAGCGTGCACGCGCTTACGGGCACAGAGCGACAGTCGAGAGCCTTCGAAGGGCGACGCGCTCTGCAAGCAGCCGCTTGTCGCGCATTGCAAAGGAAGCTGTACATCGACCTGTAGTGACAGGGGTCAGTCAGCGGGGATCTTTATCTATTTGATCACGGTATGTAATGCTTTTATTAATGCATTTTGGGGGGGAAAGTGGTTAGGGGTCAGCAAACGCCAAAAATGTTTGTGCGTAAAGGCGCAATTTACGCGGGAGCATATTTATCTAATTCTTTGGTTATTTTATTTATCACACATTTAAGAGTTACATAGCCAATCCTAATGTATTGTTGATAATATTACCATCATTATTATATATATTAATGCAATATTAAGACCAAGAGCGATTCGCGACATTGCAATGTTGACAGTATAATTTCTTATTTGTGTCAAATATTATTCGTAGATTGCTTATTGTGAGGCTATAAACTGAGAGAATAAAACCAATCAAGGGTGTGCTTGAAGAGGGCGAGTGTTGTTATGTAGATCAGGAACTGTGTGTAACGGAGGGATCCGGCTTGACCTCTCAGTGACCGCTTCAACTTTCAACTCTGGGAGCCTCCGGTTATCAGGATCTGCAGTAATCCAGTCAAAGTGATGCGCAACCGCGTCAAGCCACTGCAACCGCTGCTGCCAAAGGACTCTGAATGGATCATCTATAGCCTAAAAAGAAATGTTCTTTTACATTTGGATGTCTGTTTTTTTTGTGTGCCTTTTTTTTTGGGTTTGTTTTGTTTTTTTGTTTTTTTTTCGGTGACTAACATTAATCTACGCTTGTCCTTTACTATCCAGCACGGCCCATGTATTTAATAAAGCTTGTAGACTGTGCTGGATAAGAATAGCTAAAAATTATTAAAAATAATCACACCATGCATTAGGTATCTGATATAAAGTGTAAATGTTAATTTGAGCCTTTAGTGGAGTTTGATTTGGGAACCGCACGTCCTGACCCGCAACCAGTCACCTCTAGCAGAGTTTTAATACCAATATGACTGAGTCAGCAGGAAGGGACCACGATTAAATGGTTGTGTTTAAAAGCGGCCACAGTGAATGCAGTTAAGATGAATTTGCCTACAGCTCAAAAAATAACTGATAATACAAGAATACCCCATTTCAATTTAAGAATAAATCAAAATTGTTTTGGCAATTAACAAGAAGCGCAGATAGCGCTCCTTCAGCTTATTTTGGTTAAACTTGCTGCTTGGGGTCAAGTTTGGTTTTAGGTGGGGGGTATGGCACCACTGTTTTAAAATGACCACATCCCGCCAGTATTTTTGGGGCCGATTTTTGGTAAAAGCTAATCAACGATGGCATTACCTGCAGGTTACTAAATGAGTTGGGCTAAAACATCTCCTACTGGTTTATCAGGGTGTGAGGCATTTTTCAATTGTATCGGAGTATATAGCCAATCAAGACCCAAGAACGACCTTATAGGCAGGGGTGTAGCCAGAACATTTTTACAAGGGTGGCCAGGCAATAACCAATGTACACTCAGGGGGGTGGCTGAAAGCACCAGAACCTTGCGGTCAATCTACACTGTTTCAACAGGAAGATTAACCAGCAAAACATCTATATTTTCTAAGTAAAGACAGATTATACTTTCCCACAGTCTTTGCTAAAATATATTCAAACATCCATGCTTTCTAAATAAAAGGTAGTGGATAAAATTCTTTCAGGTTTGAGTTTTGAGAACATCTTTTCCATCGTCATTACTTTCCTACTTTTATCAATAATCATTCCGCATAAAATTTATATTTACAAGTATTTATATCTACATAAATTAATTATTTAATACGTTTTATTAAACTAGTTATTTATCTATGATTTCACTGAAGACTCCTAGATGACTTGCAGAGACACATCATTTTCTCTTTACCCTATAAAATACAAAATCTATTTCTGCTTGAATTCTGTACTTATCATTTTTAATGTTAGTATATCGATGTGCATAATAAACCACAGAGTTTTTTATTGTCAAGTAATTGTTAATATATGAAAAATTTTAATTTTTTTAATATTCCACTGGAAATTATTACTGTCACCATCTGTATTAGAGGGGAAATAAATAATTCGGGGGGCCACAGGGGTGGCCATGGCCACCCCTGTGGCCCCCATCTAGCTCCGCCCCTGCTATGTATTTGATCTATTCTTTCACTTAAGAAAATTCAAATTTAAGGACTTTTAAACAACTGCCTTTCAGCTGATGTTATAATGCCAATTTGAAAAAAAAATTAATAAAATAAAGATTGCGAGAAAACTATAGCTTATTGAATGGTGTGCGGCTGCTTGTGTTGCATATACATCGGTCTGGCAGAGCATTCACAATAACAAGGACAGCTGCAATAAGTGATCCAGATTATTTCAGGCAGAAAACGCGTCTCCCAAAACCAAGAAATAACACAAAGAGCGGAACCTGGGAATAAAATGAGAACGATTGAGGATATTTCCAGCAGAAACAACAACAGTGGATGTGGGATCTAGTTTTATGTGTGCGTGCGTCACCGGCCAGTTTCACAGCCGCGCATCATCTGGGAGAAACGAATCACTGTGCGGAGCGGACCTATGGCGGAGCAGGGCTCCAGGAGGGGGAGGCACCAAATGAGAGGCGGACTTGACTCCATTTGTAATGAAGTGTCTTGAAAAGGGGTCTCAGATCAAGAGTTTCTGCCGCTGCCGGGTTAAAGTGGAGTATAAGGAGAGAGCGAAGCAAGTTACGAGGAAATCACATCAGATTATCGGCGGATGCGCACTGTACAGGGGACTGTGTGGAGGAGAGCCGCGGTTTGTGTCTCAAGAGGCGGACAGGGGAGAGAGAAACGACAAGCAAAAGGCACAGCAGACGTGGATTTCCCTTTTGGAGAACGAGACACTTTCATAAAGGAAACTGTCGGGGACAAAAGGAACAGAAATAACAAAAAATATGCTGTTTGAGTGAATGCTGGTAATAGGAGAAGGATGAGCGCATCTTTTGCAAAGAGCAGGGGACTGTAAATCAAAAGGCCCCCTAAACAGACATCCACGAATAAAGGCAAGGCGCAGTTTAAGACCAGGTGTATCCTACTATAAAAACAACATATGCTTTAAAAAAAATATGTGCTTTATTTTGAATACACTACACGATATATAGCTACCGCTATGGTAGCCTAATGCAGTCCTCCTTTCTAGGGATTGTCAAAAAAGTTTGATTCAGTGTAAAGCAGTTAAATTCAGCCCAAAAGATTAAAACAGTAACAAGGAAATCCTAAATGTAATTCTGTTTGTTTATATTCTTTAGAAACAGAAAGATAAATCAACAGAAATAGTCACACTTCCTCGAATTGGGCGCAGAAGTTCAAATGGCATATTTAATCTAATTTGAAGTGAAGCTTGTGATTAGTTTATTGGATCGGTGTAACTCATGGCATGCTGCTGTAATCTAATGTAACACTTCCTAATTTACACGAATCGGATCATTAGTGCATCACTAAATCATTGTGGTGGCAATTTTTAAATTTGCTGCGACTGCACACGTCTCTTTTAGATTATTTCATTCTTTGGATTTTGATTTAGTGCTTAAATAGGGTATTCAAATTAAAGGCTTTGCCTAAAAAGTTTTAGATTTATTTATTAGTCAGTGTTTGGGAATTTAATAAACTTAGGCTTGACTGAGAAAATGATTTAAGAGGATTTAAAACAAAGAAACTGAAAAAATAAGAAAATGTATTTATGTGCGTACAGTGGGTCATGGCAAACGGAGGAGACCGGTTCGGCCTTGCAGATCGCCCGGATTCGGACTGCATGGACCCTCCAAAGGATTGCAAGCAGGAAAATCTCCCCTTCTCTTTAAAATCAGCTGCCTCACCTCAGACCGCCTCCAGCCAGGTAGCGGTCTCTGCTACGGATCCTGATGTAAATATCAATTATTTATAACTTCTAACAGCCGCTTATTCACTATAGGCCTTAGTCGTTTTTTTCTATAGAAGGCAAATGGATCATATTGGATATTATTTTTGACTTTTATTAATTCACATTAGACCTAAACCTACAGAATCACTGCGCCTTTTCCTTAAAATGGAAGTTATGTGATGACAATGATTTAAACATATTCTTTGTTTACCTAAAATCTTCCACCTTTTTTGCGCTAAGCAGTGTTTGTGCCTTTGCCACAGGGGATGGAGGGGATCAAAGTTGTCCTTCAGGACAGGGAACTTTGGACCAAGTTCGATGAAGTGGGAACTGAAATGATCATCACGAAAGCTGGAAGGTAGGATGTATTAGGTAAAATTTTCCGGCTCGAAAGATACCTACAATTAACCCCCCCAAAAATTCAATTTTTCTAGTAAAAATATTTACGTATACAAAAATATGGGTATATTATAATGAAATGAGGTCTACAATGCGCATGTCATCGAGGGCCCCCAGGGACTTTTTTTGTCTCTGGGGAATGGGGAGGAATTTACTCTGCCTCCCTTTCTTTCCTTTTTTAGTTTGCAATATCATATTTTTCTACATATTCAGTTTTTTTAATATGCTACTTTTTCTATTTCGTTCCCACAGGAGGATGTTTCCCAGCTACAAAGTCAAAGTCACAGGACTCAATCCAAAGACCAAGTATATACTCCTGATGGACATTGTTCCCGGAGATGATCATCGCTACAAATTCGCAGACAATAAATGGTTTGTATATATTTGCTTTCCTATATAACAAGGAGGCCTTTAGTCGAGCAGAATAATTAAGATATTATTTTTATTCTTCTTTATAAATTCGGTATTTGAATAGAAGCTGTGGTTTAAACCGACCTTCTACCCTCCGGGCGCGCTGCGTAAAGCTCGGGTCCCTGCGTAAATTCGAGCTGGCCTACTTCCCCGTGTGCCCCTCTGTGTGTCTGCCCGCCGGTTACATCACAATATGACGGGTTCACGGAGCGGACAGACTGCACAGACCGGATTAAAGTATCTCATTCAGCTTGTGCTGAGGCTAAAACGGACCTCAGACTGTAATCAGATTCATCAGTGCGCTGTTGGCCCTCCACAAAACCAAAAATAAGCTTTTATTTGGAGGATAAGGACTGAGGGAAGGCGATAAATGAACCTAAGGTGTCTGTGGTTTTCTCTCTAAACTCCACATCTGACTTTTGCCCCCCTGAGTTTATCAAACTTTCCAGTTTTGATAACACATTGATAACAAAGAGCTGTATCCAAATTTTTAAGGTTTGTTTAATCTTTCCGTGCCATAAATGTCTTTGGAGATTGTAATTGCTTTGAAACATACGTTTTTTTCCCTTTCTTTTTCTACACTGAAGGGGAAAAAATGTGTGTAATTTAGTATACCGGTAAGCTCATAAATTAAGTTGAGATTACAATTTGGATATACTTGTAATTTGATAGATTTAAATTCATATTTTCCACCTAACGCTTGTGAAATTTCACTCCATTTGTACATTTTTCTGGCTTCAGAAATTATTTATAATTTCTTAAAATATATTGCTTTCTTGAATTTGTTCACTCAAAAAAGTGAGGTTTTAATATTTTATTTTACATTAAAATAAAATTTAGGAACAGGCAATATTATTCTAATTCACAGTGATCCTAAATATTTAGAGCACATAATTACACTCAGTAGTTGAAACAAAATATAACTTCAGTGTGTTGAATTGGTGTAACACATTTATAATTTTTTTTACATGCATTTATTCAAACGTTTGGGTTAGAACAAGTTGTTTATTACTTTATTACATAACCTGTTTATTACAGGTTTTTAAAATTATATGTTGATTGTTTGTTTTTGAATAACAAAATGGGCCTAAAAGTGGGATTTTGCTTTATGTTATTAGAATCCTGGACTTCTTCTAAGATGTTTGAGGTTTTATAACAAAATAAATAAATAAATAAAATAGTACTAATTAAAATACTTTGACCCTTCCTTATATGCTATTTTAACGGGAATCAAAATAGCAAATAATATAGCAAATTCCTTTTCTGTAAACTTGTGATTTGAAGTTTAACAACTTAGTATTCAAAGGTAACTGACTGGTAAAATATTTTGACATTAGGTAACCTATTCTCCTTAACTTGTGGATTGAATTTTAAAATTATAGCAATAATAAATGCAATATCTTAATGTAGAATTGGCTTAAATTAAGTTCAGATTGATCAAAACATTATATTAATAATTAATAATGAAACAGTTTTTCAGATGCAGGCATTAAGGCATATTCTAAAGATTCAGAATATTCCTTTTGTCTTGTTGGAGCTTGTTCCAGCATGTAAACTTTATATTTCATTCAGCAATCTTGCTTGTCCTCAGTTTGAATAAGAAACAACAAAATAGGAATTAGTTTTTAATTTAGGCATGAAAAGTTACTCTATGGATAATTATAATGGACAGATGATGGATAAAGGACTTCTTAAATGAAATGTAACAAGTTGGAGATAGCTGTGGTTGTTATTAGACACTACCGCAACTTGGAAAACAAGCTCAGCCTGCAAGTTTACAACTTCAGCTTCAACAGTGCTGCCAAACTATTTAAAGCCAGATGATTTTTTTTTCCAATTTTGATAAAATGCATGTTAAAGTTCTGGCTTTAGCATCAACTAAGAATTACCGTTCATTAGCAGAGACTGCTTGCTGTTAAGAATCCCGTTAAGAAATGTTCATAAATTTGACTTTAGCCTCAGTCTTGTCCCTTAACTAAATAAGCTAGATGCAGGCGTTATTGATCTTTTGATGAGGTGGCATGTTAAACTTTTCCCTGGCAGCCACATGTGCTGTTCATTTGCAACAACTGCTATAGCAGTGGCAGTTCTAGATCGGATATAGAGCTGGGGGGTTGTACGGGGGGAGGTATCTTTTGATGGAGGCATGGAAAAAAAAAGTTAAAAAATAAAAAGAAACTGCAAAAGTTCATAGTTTAATTTATTAATTGAGCCAGAGAATGAAAGAGCCACTTGCGGAGGTGGAGCTGCAGGTTGCAGACCCCTGATATATCTGGTAAACACTGAGATGCAATCTTTATTGTAAGTTAAAAGTGGAGCACTTTCACTTTAAAAGCACTGTTAAATTAAAACAGAAAAGAAAAGGAACAAATTTAGTCCAATCTGTTGTGCTTTATGTACCAGCATAATATAGGATATGGATTATGTCTTCAGTAGAGACGTCATAAAACTGGCCAGTAACCCTCCTATAGGGGCACTGCCCCCTTGTTGACCCCTGTCTAGAACAGCTCCATTTGGTTTATTCTACATGCTTATTAATTTCCCAAAAATATTCTTATCGATTTTTATCATTATTAAAATTTAGAGTGTTAAATTTTCAAAAAAAATTCCTTGGTAATTTTCAAAACCTTTTAATACAATCCAATATATTCATTTGTTTATAATGTAAAAACCTCAGGAAAAAATAAAATACACGGATGCTAACAGGGTTATTACCAAAGTTAACATTGGCCAGAAAATCCAACCAAACAAGATTCATGAGTTTGTGAGTCCAATTCAAGCACCAGCCCCACAGACCTTGTCCTGTCTGCTGTAGATGGGCTCTCTGCTCCACAGGGCACCCAGGAGCTCGGTGCCTAAACCACTTGGACCCCCTGAGTTTCACTGTCTGATCATTTTCCTCTCTGATGGATCCTTCTTGGGAACATATAGGTCAGTAACGGGCAAAGCAGAGCCCGCTATGCCCGGCAGGCTCTACGTCCACCCAGACTCTCCTGCCACGGGAGCGCACTGGAGCCGCCAGCTTGTCTCCTTCCAGAAGCTCAAACTCACCAACAACCACCTGGACCCCTTTGGACATGTGAGTCAGCTCCTCTAACTATTCAAAAATGGATCCATTTCATTTAAAGAAAGACATTTAGGAGCAATAGGATACAGAAAAATTGTTTAAATACAGTAAGGTACATTTTGACCTATTAAAAAGTATAACTTACTAAATCTAAGTGACTTGTTTCACAAAACAGTTAACGGAAATATCTGTTCAAAAATAAAAATATTCTATTGATAATGTAAATTAAAATGTTTATAGTCAAGGGTTATTCATTGTTTTAACACCATTGCATAAAGATTTGCAATTAGATACAATTATTTCCATGAATCCAGACTCTATTAGCCCATGGATTCCAGGAGTGGACTTATCAAACTGAGCTCTTTGAATAAACAGAAGGTGTCTACACACTGAAAACCTAATCTAATTAAAACACACTTACAGCGCTGCTAGTGTTCCTGGAATAGGTTTAACTTCTAAATTTACATTGTTAATATATTCTAATGTTAAAGATTATTGTATAAAAATAAATCTTTACAAACTTTCTGAAACTTTCTTTTAGGAAACAGTCTAATTAAAATATTGCTGAGAGTTTTAGGTTTTCTCCAGAATTCTCTCTATGTTAATCCATTGAAAATAAAAGTGTCAGATAGGAATATGAGGATGATTTCAATATACAATAGAGTTTAGCTAAATAATATCCAGGTGTAAACAAGTAAATAGGTTTTACTGGTAGGTTGACTAATGCAAAGCAGATGACAGAACCCAATGATTGAAATAGTGTTGTTGAAAGAAACCACTAATTAGCTTGTCTCCTTCTTGACTTCGATCGCTCTGATCCAACCACAAATGTTCTGTTTCAAACATCAGCAGGAACAAAGAAATCTAAAAAAACGAAAGAATCTTGTCCATATGGGTTCAATCTCAAAAAAGACTGTCCAACCACCAGCATCTGCTGGAAGCATGATGGGTCTGTGAGCATCTTTTTCTCCCTCTCTCTCATACGCAGATAATACTCAACTCCATGCACAAATACCAACCTCGTCTCCACATTGTCAAAGCAGATGAAAACAACGGCTTCGGCTCGAAGAACACAGCTTTCTGCACTCACGTGTTCCCAGAAACTGCCTTCATCGCAGTGACATCTTATCAAAACCATAAGGTAGGCCTCACCCGGATGCCATGCTATCATAAATAGTTAACAGGTACAGCAGTGTTTTGATGTTTCAACATTATATGGCGTTTGAATGTAAAGTGCAGACTTTATTCGCTCAGTATTGTTTAAATACTTATGGTATTTAGGGACAGTGAAATACAACATGACACCACAGAAAAAATTGGTGTTGTTTGCATTTTGTGTCCAAAAATCCAGTCAGTGTTTTCTTTGCTTGTGTGTTCTTGCATATATTTAAACAGATATCTTGCATGAGTGAGTGTGTGTGTGCGTGTGTGATTATGTGTAGACTGGTCTCTAATGACCTGCTACTTGAGTCCTCCCGGTTTTCTGCCACCCACAAAAGAAAGATCCCTGAAGCTTTGAGTTTTTTGTTCTTCAAAAAGACTCACTTTGATCTTCTTTCTTTCACAAAAAAAAAACGCATATAGCTAAATAGCCTAAAAATGGGGACATTTTATTTCAACATGTTCATATTATTTTTGAAATATTATTATTAATTTCTTCTTTTGGTCAATCTTTGGCGGAAACTTAAAATAAAACTCATTAATTAGTATGTGTATTATGTAGATGTAAATATTGGCATTTTTTTATTGCTATTAACGAGGCAGTTGTATAATATTTGTTATCTGATGGCTCTTTTAGCAGGTCTAATTTATATGCAGTTATATGGGATTAAATTTGGTTCAAAATTTATTCAAACCAGTAGAACTTACTCCGGTGCAATTCAACACTATATGATGCAACTTGGTCCACACAAACACAGTTTAATTTGTAAATCTGCATTGCAAAGTCCAGGTCAGTTGATCAGTTTTTGAAGAGAAAAAAAGGTTAAAAATTGATTTATATTCTCTATCCAACAGGAAAAAATATAATAATAATTGTAACAAAAAATATTCAATAGGAATACAACTTAATACTATTTGCTATACATGGTTAATAATGCCTCTATAAATATCCATCCATCCATTTTCTGTCACGCTTTATCCCAGCTGGGGTCGGAGGGGTGCTGGTGCCTATCTCCAGCTGTCTACGGGCGAGAGGTGGGGTACACCCTGGACAGGTCACCATTCCAGGCCTTTATAAATATTTTATTTTATTTTTGTCTGATAAAAATGTTATAAAAAATACAATTAAATGAAAATGAAAAAACATTTTTTTTGTGTGTGTGTAATTTATATATCAGTATCAACAGTAGAGAATACAATTTATGTAATTAAGACACACATGCCAGTATATAATAATATTTCAGGTTCTCTCGTAAAAATTGGAGCTCTTGGGCCACACTTTGGCAGGGACCATTGGTCTTTTCAGTACTTCAAAGTTTGTTTCTTGATCTCTGGCCCACTTGCCCTGCTGTGTGTTAGAGTTGGTCCGTAGCCAAATGAGATCCTTCAAAACGCAAAAGGTTTACATCCATGACATCACTGTGAAAAATCTGAAACCTCCACTTCAAAGGCCCAAAGCTTCAAATCTCTAAAAGGTCCAGGACTGTTTGGGTAAACTGTTTATTCTGAATCAGCTGGCGAGGACGCTGCACTCAGAAGCATTGCCTGCTTAGGAATGCTGGTTGTACAGAGATGAGCTGCTTTTGGGAAAGAAAAAATTTCATCAAAGTAGATGTTTCTGCGTTTTGGTGGATGCACAACCCTGTTTCATTTTTCGCTATATCTTCCCAAGTTTTACTTTATTCTAGTTTATTTAAAATTGTTTTTCTTTTGCTTTCTGTATTCAGATCACGCAATTGAAGATAGAGAATAATCCTTTTGCCAAGGGTTTCAGGGGCAGCGACGATAATGAGCTCCATCGCATGGCCAAGCTTCAAGGGTAAGTTGTCAAAATTTATTCTTGCTTCTGCATGTTCTTAAGCTTTTATAGCATTTATATAAATTTTCCTTCCTCTCATTCTCCCCTCTTCACCCATTGGTGGTGTAGGAAGGCTATTGTGATGGCATGCATATGGTCTAACGTGAATGGAGCCAAGTGGTTTGAAAAGATTCGAGCTTTTGTCACCTGAAGGTTGAACTCCAACTAAACAGACAGTGAAAGCATTGCTTTTATAAACACATGACTTCACGTTGCTGCAGGTCCATGAAGGCCTGTCACCGCTGATCGGCTGATGACTGCCCCACACATGTTGTGATTGCGTGCTTATCTAATCTCTGTTTGAGTGGCATAGGCATTTTTGAGACTTTAGTGAGCTGTTACTGATCAGAGAGAGAAGAAAACCAAGTAAAGGGGACGAGGAAGGGAGGTGGACGTGAGATGCAGCACCCATGTTTTCATGTTGTTGAGGAAAGGAGAGAAGAGTCAATCTGAAGTGACACATGGATGGATGTTTATTTTTAGAGTGGTGAATTATCTCACAAAAGCACTGGCTGTGCCTGTGTATGTGTGTGAACTGAGTGTGTATATCTATGCAGGAGTCAGAGAGATGTGGCCCGCTGTCTCCTGCATACCGCAAAGTTCACACAGAGGGCAGCGAGTGCAAGGGGGGAAAGAAATCACAGCCGAAAGGTTGTGGAATATTTAAGTGGACGTGATAGGAAAAAACAAAACAAGAACATGAATGTTTTAGCAGAGAAAACAGGATATCGTTAAGAATAAGTAAATAAATGAGCACATCTAATCTGGGAATTACCTCTTCTCCATCATCTCCTATTTTTCAGCAAAGATTACCCTGTCGTTCCCCGCAGCACTGTCCGTCAAAAAGCATGCTCTGCTGGGAGTCCCTTCAGAGGGGAGAGTCGAGGTCTACGGGGGTCTCCCGATGCCATCGGGTCCCCCTTTAGCAGCGAGAACGGATTGAACTGTGGCAGTCCACAGGAGCTGCTGAGTTCCCCGCCTGTACACTACACCCACCGTCACCCACATCTGCAGCCTGGTCAACAGCCGCAAGACTACAGCTACAGCAAGAGGAAAGGTGGGTGCAGTGTTATACTTTACCCTTCAATTTTCACAGAAATGACTAATAATTCATAAAAGTAAATAAAGGCAAATTACATCATCTAGAAATTCAAATTTTTAATAATCAAATAATCTGCATCTGAATACATATCAGTGGTTAACAAAGAAGCACAGATATGGCTAAAATAAAACAGATTTGTATTAATTTGTTCCATTCCTAGCATTTACTTAGTGTCTGCAAATCTAATTAGCATCAGATTTACAAGGACAGCGGCGGAATTAATAAATGAATACGTTATTTTCATGTGAACCCATTTGGGCTCTTGATGGGTACTCAGACATTTTAATCAAGAGCAGTGAAAAAAGAAAATTAGAAACCACTTAAGTAGACCTTATATCTAGCTAGTACAGAAGCACCACACTATTCCTTTCCATTACTTTTAGAAAAAAAAAAAGTAAAAACTTTTTTTAATTCAGCTGAGAGGATAGCAAAGTGGAATGTGATTAGTTTCACTTTGCTATGGACTTTTTTTTCTTTTTTTTTTTACAAACCATTATTGTTTGTTACATTTAGCTTTAGCTAATGTTTCCAGTGCCCTCCATAATTACCACCTGGTAAAACATCTGTATATGGCCTTAAAATACATTCATCTTTTAACAAACTTTTTAAATTTCACACTAAAAAAGCTTGAAAAATCCACTTTCAATTGTTTTATTTATGTATTTAGTATAGATATCTTTGTTTTTTCAATATTTTTTTTATGATATTGCTGGCACACATATTGGTACTAGAAATACAATTAAATAAATGCAGCCAGACATTTTTTCCTCTGTTGATTTTATATCTCATTTGAGTTTGTTGTTGTTATTTTTTAAATAGAGTAGATCATCAATCTGTGATTTTGTGTTCCCTTGGGGAAAAAATAGGAAGTGACACAGATGTAGATGACCAACTAACTAGTTGGTTTGAAGTGATGATGGAAAAGACCTTTAGGATCCTACCATAACTAACATAAACATATGAAAGTTGGCCAAACTGTACTGGGTTTTTAAGTAGTAAAGTACCTGATGTGCTCTGTCCAGTATAGTAGATGGTCTATCATGCTGTGGGCTTGTTTCTTCCCAGAACACCCAACAAGTCTTGTAGGACTTCATTGTATCACAAGGGCTCTAAAACACCTGAAGAATAAAAATAAATTATTGGTGTAATTTATTTTAATTCTAAAGGTGTTTTAGAGCCCTTGTGATACAATAAAGTCCTACAAGGCTTGTTGGGTGTTCTGGGAAAAATTAAAATAAATTATTGGTGTAATTAATTATTTGGTTTTATACATAATGACCATAAAAACATAAATAAATCAACACAGAAATGACTCACCAGGAATAAAATCTGATCCTCTCACTTAGCCCTCCCATTCCATGAAATTAAATACTTAATACATAAATTAAAGGCTTTAATTTTCTTTTTTTGTATGTGGGAAGACACTTGTAACATGTTTTTTTGCAACTATTAGTAGATATTGATAAGGGATGCTCATGAATGTGGCAAACATTATAAAACTGTGGAGAGAAATGATTTTTTCAAAGGGTGAACTTTATGTGTATCATATACCATAATTTATTGAATTAAAATTAATTATTCCTTACTGAGATCTCTTGGTGTTGTATGTTTTTATAATTTTAAATAATGTTGGATCTCCATTATCCTACAGCAAACCAGCTGATTATGGCTCTGACATTATTTCCTCTTTCCATCTGCAGCAGAAGAAAACTGTTCTCCAAGGAACCACCAGCATCCATACAAGAAACTCTTTACTGGTGGTTCACCAAGCGAGGAGGAGTCCTACTACCACCCATCCTCCTACCCCCCTCCTCCACCTGGTTTGTCAAACCTCTCTGCTCTTGGCCTCACTGACTCCCCCTACAGCTCAGACATGGGACAGCATCAGGCATGCATGTTTGCCGGCTCGGAGCCCAGAATGGATGAGTTCAGCTGTGCATCCTGGTCGTACACCTGCCCGCTCCCCGCCGCTATGACCCCAGTGGAACCCTACCCACCTTACACCCCTCACCCCCCCTACAGCTCCAGCCCCCAGGGCTCTCGACTAAGCGCCTTAGCCCATCAGAGCCCTCCATCGCTGGGTGAGCACATCTCCCATGATCCCTACCACAGCCAGAGCTCTGAACCTCGATCACAGAGCACCCAGAACATCCCGAGCAGACAGCTTGGCTCTCCTCTCAGAGAGTACCCCCGCTTCACATCCAATCTATCGCAACCTCTCTATCACACACTAGACACCCACTCACACATCAGGTGTGGAGTGCCAGAATGGAGTGCAGCCTCCTAACCAGATCACCAACACAGATTTAAGATGGACTCTCTGTTTTCCTTGCAAAGGCTGCACTGTACAAACTGAGGTACTTTTGTAAAGTTATTGTGAATACTGTGATATTGTGGTGTGTATGTTATGTTCATCCTCTCTGCTGGAACGAGCAGCAGATTATGAGGGACCTAATTTGGACATTAGTCAAATGTAGTCCCCAGCAGGAAGCCTGATGATCAGTGACGTTGTTATCTTTGTGCCTATTTAAAACTGTTTGCAGTGTGATTTTCTTTTCTTTTTTTTAAAGACCAGGCCACCGACTGGCACTTGGCTGATTTCCCCTCAATGTCTGCTACTTTATGCATGGTGAAGGATGTAAACTGTGAACACTGTCAGCTGGGCTGTATCAATTATCTACAAAAGTAATCCCAGTTATCGGAACAAAGCCCAGGGCAGGGGTTTCTCACATTATTGGAGGAAAATGCAGCTCCATGCTCAGTCATAGCAAAGGAAAAAGGGCACTGGTTTGTCCGAGCTTATGCTGGTGTACATGCAAACCCAGTGTCAGCTCAGCTAAAGGATGTTTAATTTGCAATGAGACAGCCAGCGATAGCTGTAGGCTCTCCTTCATAGAGATAAACACTTTGTTTAGATCGTGCTACAGGCTGAAGGACCTGTAAGCACTGCTTTCATTGCATTCTGGGTAAATGCACAAGTCAGTGTCACAAGGCTGTCACTGCTGTCCTCTCAGTCACCCCCAACCAACCAATCAGCTTTCTCTGTCCACAAAGTAGCAGCCAATGAACACATGGTTTTCATTTATGCTCAGCTGACTGGAAAGGGTTATGCCTGTGTGTGAGTGTTGGCCCATTTTTGTTTGTTTGTTTGTTTGGGAATTATTCATGAACCGATTACTGATTTCTGACATGTGAGGATTGCTCAGCAGTGAAAATAATAAGAAACTGGGGGAAAGTCGAGCATTAACATAATCACATTTGTTTCAAATCTGAATCACATACAGTTATTCCTGTATTTGCTTTGATTAGATTTCCCTCGTTGGCAACTGCAGAAAATGTGCACCCTCCAACCACAGGGGTTGGTTTTATGTTTTCATTTTTGCGGCCGTGTGCTTTTACACATGCAGTAGCCTGTTATAAGGTGCTCTAACATGAAAGAAAAAACAGCCTCATCATTCCTCATTATGTATTGGACTGCTCAGCTGCCACTTTATAAGGTACACCTGAAAGGGGAAGGATGAGGATTTAAGTGACTCTGATGATGGCTGTTGACGCTGCAAGCAGAATCAAGTCTTTGTTGACATGATGTCACCATAATTAGTCTGTGACACTGGCTCAGACTGCACATATGATACACAGGCATAGGTAAAAAAAACATGTGGACTTATAACGCCTTATAACGCTAACACAGACCTTAACAGCATTTGACAAAAACAAATTGGCATAATTCGGCTTTGTCCCATATGCTTCTATATGGGCTGGAACATTCAGACTCTAAAATAGGCGCGAATGATAAGAGAGCCTGGATCCTTCCTGCCTTTTATAAAGGGTCAGACTGTTGGGGCTGGTATAATTGTGTTTGGTGGAATGTTTTCTCTGGGCCCCTTTATACTGACTGCACTCTATACTATTGTTGCTGTCCATATTCCTTCCTTTATGACCACAGTTCCCTCATCTTCTGTTGGTTTCTTCCTGCAAGATAATGCCCCATGTTGCAGAGCTTAAATCATCTCAATCTGTTTTCTTGATGATGGGGTCAGTTTACCGCAATCCAGAGACCTCTCCAGGGAGCAGATACCAGTCCAGTAGAGCATGGTGGTTTATCGTAGCTATGCAGCCAGCAAATCTGCAGTAGCTGCATAATATTTTGTCGATATGGATACAAATATCCCTGAAATGTTCCCTATACCTTGAATAAATGACACTAAGGATTCAGGCTGTCCTTATGCCAAAAGAGAGTCTAAACATCTATTAGCATGGTGTACCTAATAAAGGGGCCAGTAGGTGTTTGTTTGGAAATAAGATGTTTCATTGTGTTTTTGTTTGTTTTTGTTTGTTTGTTTTCGGGGTTTTTTTTAGAACTTTTGCTGTTAATAGTATTTATTGATCTGGGTTTGTAAAGTTTCGTTATTGTTAACTTGTGGAACTATTTTGAGGGTTGATTTCCATTTAAAATCTCCATCCCAAAGTGTTCTGAAGACTTACCAATGGTGTTTTGTTGGAGAAAAAATAATAAAGATTTATAAACGGAAATTGAATACATTTTTCAAGAGAGAGATGCTGCCTCTTGTATGTTCCTATTTTCCACACCACATTCTCCCTGAGTTATTTAAGGAATGCTTAACATCTCTGCAGTGGAAACTCTTTAAATTACAACCTTTCTTTATCAGGTCAGATGCATGTAGGAATATGACAGATCTCATAACAAGCAAAGTCTCACTTTTGTGTGTTGAAACAGTGTTTTCTGGGAGCGCTTAACTTCTCTTTTCTGAAGGGACCCTGTACATGTTTCTAAATGTGCTTTGCATACCTCTTTGTCGTCCTTTTTATCTCTGACAGGTTGTTTGGCATCTCACTCTCCACCAGCTGGACTATCTCTGTCAACCTGCTGGCTTAAGAGGGAAGGGGGTCAGTCCTGATGTACGACAAAGAAACTTCCATCCAAAATTCAGCCCGTCTATCAGCATATTGCTGCAGTTCACATAAAATGCATTACATTTCAAGACTAGTTAGCTCTCTGTTTATCTCACCCCTTTTATTCTTCTTTTTTCCTTTCTCCATCGCATACACCACAGGGTCAGAGGTTAAGCAGGCATCTCTTCAGAGGCTCTGTTCCTCCTTAACCCTTTGCCTGCAGACTAACTGAGTCTCGGGGTGGGGGAAAAAATTCCATGAGTCTCCAAATATAAAAATTGATTTGTACAAGAATGAACGTACAGGAACAGAACTGTCTGATATATTTTGGGTGGAAAAAATTTAAGAAAAAAACAATAAGTAAATCACTGAGTGAAGTGGGACTAATATTAAACACAGATGGTGTGGACTGTGTGGAAGTAAGATCTTAATTTATCGTTGGAGGACTTTCTCAGACATGTTGGTTCAGCAGTAGATTGATGAAGCTTTGTGATCAAAGAGCCTAAGTACTGCTTATCATTAGTCCTTTTCCCCCTCTACCACTCCTACACATATAACAGGCTACTATCCCCTCTTATTCTGCAGCAACAAACTGGTTCTGCACATATATCCTCTAAGCCAGGGTGGTTTGTAAAACAGAACTACATATAAAGAAAAACATGTTTTATGTTACTTGAGGACGACTCTGCATCGCCACTTATTGAAGCTGCAGCTTTGTATAAGACTAGACAGGCTGTAAACTGAATTATTTGTGTGGAGTAATTTTTCTTACATAAGTACTTTGAAAAAGATATTACAGACCTATAAAAAGCTATTTTCATTACAGTCCAAAGTATTTGTTTGAATGTATAAATTGGCATCCCTTGCTAAAGGCATTTGTGTGGTGTCCAGCATTAGTGATGTCATTTTGTGTGGAATAAGTGCACTGAGATGGAGTGTAATTGGAAAAGATGATCATGGTTGGTCTCCATCGTTCTGTTGGTGATCGCTCACCAACAAGAACAAAAGGACAAGCTTTCTTCTTCTACACTTTGAAAGCAACCCACTAACATTTGTAATGGAGAAAGTTTGATCAAAAGATTTCTCGTCTTTTATCAGGTTAAAATGTTCACATACATTTTTTACACAGGGATTCTATGTGATAATCCAAAAAAGAAAATTTGTGACTTGGATGGGGAAAATCAACTTTTTTTTTTTATTATTTAGATTTTGGCATGCATTTGTCTTCCATTTTTCCAAGTCAGTAATGTATATAACCACCCTGCGACCGAAGGTGGATTTATTTTAAGTAATCGCTCTACTGGTTTTCAAACACTAAATAATTTTGCTAATTTATCTTTTATAAAAAAAAATGCTTAATATCAGTCAGAATGGTTGCAGACCGATGCTCCGAAAGTTAAACCTTTACTTCTTATTCTAACGTTTTTTTCCAGGATAGTCCTGAATTTTGCCCTATCTATCTTTTCATCCCTTTTCCCCAGTTTCCCTGTCCGTTGTTGATAAAAAGCATCCCAATAATATTATACTCCCTCCACCTTGTGCAGCGGTATTTATCAAGGTAATGGGCAGCAATGTTTTTACATCAACATTTGGTGTTTAAATCATAAAGCTTAATATTAGTTAAATATGATTGAAGTGCCTTGCTGTACAAGTTTGAGGCTTTGGGAAACTTTAAAAAAAAAAAGTCTATTTTCTTTCCTCTCTTAAAGGTATAGTGAAGGGTTTCCTTTTTCCTGGTGGATCATCAAAATAAGTGGTCCTCCTAATTGTCAATGATCTGGTGATATGTTTACGTAGGGCCGTCCTTTCCGGTGGTGAGTCTGACATAGTAGAAACATTGCAAATCTTCTTTTGGACCGTAAGCTTGTATGAGAGATGCAAACAGCAACTTTTAAACTGAGTGTGCACAAGGAGAAATGGGCTCTTGCATGCTCACATGCGTTTAATAGGAGTTCTCTCTTGGAATTGGGTACAAGGTTGTGCATGTGCATTTTTTTTTAAGTGGAGAAGGTGGGTCTTTTCAAAATTCCCTAAAATCCTCCACTAAACCTTTAAATAAGAGTCAAATATAAGGACTGCATAACATACCGATTATTCCACTTGAGCTGTGGCTCTCTGCAGCTACTTCAGTTAACATGGGATCTTGACGATGATGTCTTTGGTAGTTTTTGGTTGTGTCGTCTCTTTCCATTTTCAAATATTGGATTGACCCGACTCTGTGACTGTGAGATGTGCAAAATTTGGGTGATCATTATAGCCAAAACTTTTCTCTACGCTTCTCTCCAACCCTCCTCCTGACCTGTCTGCTTAGTTTTTTGTTTTCATGATGTCGTTCTCTAAAAAAACTGAGGTTCTCACCAAAACATTGATTTTCACTTGCATTTAATAACACAGAGAGGGTTTTTTTTTTTTTTTGCTAAGAGAGTGATCTCTGAAGTCTTTGTAATGTACAAGAATTTATTCCAGAATATCAGAGTCAGAGGTTTTAAAAAGTGTATTGCATGTATCTGTTTACTTTCATTTTATTATTAGATGCTATTCAGTTTTTGTCTATGACATGATCCAATATAACCCATTGAGATTTGTTGCAATTTAGAAACTATTAGCCAAAGGGCTGTACCCGAGGTTCTGCACGATTTTTTTGTAAATTTCTTTTACTTCTGATGTGCATAAAAAAACTTATTTTAGAGGTTTCTTTCTTCCTCGTCTGATCTACTTTGAGCTGAATTGAGCATAAACCCTCGTCAAGCATGTGTGTGTCTGTAATTAGAATCAGTGTGGCACTCAGAGGACTGCACAATAGCAATACAATAATGTAAAACAATAAATGTGTGGCTATTACATGTGGTATAACAGAGTAGGATGTTGGAGGTTTATTTGAATGGTACAATCCATCCTTGTTGGTATTTAAAAGCCACAATAAAGCCTTAATGCTGTTAAGGACTGTATAGTAACAAGACTCTGGCCCAAGCTAATTTCCCCTAAATGAGAGTTTATGGCTGAAACAGCCCTGAAATCACTGAAGTAGATCTTAATATGAGTGTAAGGGCTGTCAAAGATAATAGGCAAAATAGGAGTGTGTGTTGGTGGGTGCGTGTGCTTCGGCGTTGAATCTCAAAGACAAAAGGAGAGGTTGGGGGTCAAAGTAACAGCAGACTGACCAGTCTAGGGTCAGAGGGCTCCGGCTAACCTGATCAATGAGGGCTGTTTATCTAAAAACCTCCAAACTATCACCCTGATGGAGATGCTGCAGCTTTTTTAGCTCAGTGTAGCACTCTCACTTTCTGAGCAGCACCACAATACAAG